ACCTGGTGGTGTGACAAACATTCATGTTGCTTTCTCTTAAGTCACTCATTTATATGCTTCTGTCTAAGCTTTTTTCCTCTTTTTTTCTCCGCCGTATGCAAGAGCAACCGGAGCCATTTTCTAACACTCGTATAATATGCATAGTTTCGTGTTCAAAAACAAAAGAAAAAAGACCGAATTATGACAAATATAGCCAAACTGGCACAACTGTTAAAATTAATACTGATCATGACGGTGTCAGAGCGACTGCGCTCATGCTGAGGTCCATCGCAGCGGGCTTATCTTAGCGATCTCCGGTCATCGCGGTGAAGCAAGCGTCAGAAATTACATCAGCCGCGCTTCGAGTAAAACAACTGAGAGCTTACTCTGATATCCTTCCAATGCTTCGAGTGGAAGGCCACATCAGTCTCAGCAGCCAAGTTTCACGGCGCTGTCACCGCGAGCAATCTATATGTTCCGGTGAATTCGACCGTCGTTCATTTATAAAACACCGCCTTGAGCAGTTTGTTTTCTAATTGCTAGGCGAAAAAAAAAACCGCGTGTGTTTATGAGCTTCAACTCGTCCGGATTTCTAGGAGTATTTTACGTTCAGATTCTGTATTAGAGACTTAAAAAACTTCAGGCAAAAGTGTTAAATTCAACCTGCCGCGCTGAAGTATTTCAGTTCGTAAACTATTGCAAATTGTGAACTTTGACGGATTGTGAGCTTTGATAGTTTGACATTTTTGACAGTTGTAGTCTTGTTCAACCGATTAGATTATTTGAACCATTTTATCAAAGATGATGATTTGCTCATTGCAGTGTGTTTTACAAGAGTATAGAGCATACTGACTACACTTTTGTTCACTTTGAAAATAAGATTGTTTTGGAAATTGGGGAATTAATTAAACAGATTCTTTATTATAAAACAAATCGAGACATCGAGTGTTTCTCTCCACTTTTTGAGTACTCTACTTGCTTCCTAAGTGCTCTACAACAGAACTGAGCACAGCCAAGGCTTTGAATTGGTTAAATAGTGTTTGTGGATTTCTGTTGTTTCCTGTTCCCGTTAGGTGTGCTCGTGAACGGAATCCGTGAAGCATACCGAGGTACACTTTTGCTATCTCGCTAGTTCCGCCAATCCGGTCAGGTCGTTGTGAAACTTCTAAAGTACTCGTGTAAAAGTGAATTTGTGATTACCCTTCGATATACATGCTTGGCTTCACAGAGGACACAGAGTACCGAAGCAGACAATAATCTTTACACACAGTAATCTTTATTAATTTTAGATGATAGCGCTACGACGTTAATTTGCTTGATGAGAGTAGCGGTTGAGGTTGCGTGTGGTTCGAACTAAAGGAAAATACAACAGAAACTAAATTTAGAAAAATGAGTTGCGAAATGTAACATTAACCGAACTAAAAATGAGGCGATTGCACGGAAAACTGAATAATAATACACCAATAATACATACAAAAGGTAAACAACGTAAATGTAAAAGAAATAAAGACTTACTTTAGTATAGCTCCTAACGGTGGCAAATAGCTTGTAGCGATTATCTAGCAGCGATGATTTAGTAGCGATGATTGAAATAGAATCTTTACACGTGTACTTAAATGGGAATTGATCGGGAATAACAAACTTATTGTGTAATAACCATTAACTAACGAAAGACTTATTGATAAAAATGAATCAGAACAAAAACGATAATAAAGTATGTATTAACTAAGCGTTTCGAAACTAACAAAGATGTTGTCACGTTCGGTTCGAAATATGATCGTGGTGATACAAATCTGTTGCTGATCAACGAATTAAGAACTAGATTTGTAATAGTAGCAATCCTTAGTTGGGTCTGAGAGAAAATACTACTGTCTTGTATAACCTTAAATTCTCAAGCCACGTTGGTTTTCTTTAAATCATCACTATTCGTTTATTAATGATTATTACCAGAACTTGCATATGACCACGGATGTTTAGGTATCATATTACAACGACCAGGTGCTACTTTTGTCAATAACCGTTGTTTCCTTGGGGTTCCACACTTCCTCATTCAGTCTGCAAGCAATTACGTTCGTAATAAGCTTAGGTCTAATAGTGAATATGTATTTACATTCCGTAGAGATTTATCGAAACGCTCTTCTGATCAGAAGATTGAAATTTTCCCTTATGCATAGTTACCGATTAAACAAACTTAATCAAAGATTCCCATGGTTATGCTGTACTTAAGTATGAAAGGGACTTTCACTTTCATCTAAACGAAGAAGGCGAAAAATCTCATGCCAATTAGAATTATATCCTGGCTCTAGTCTACACGCAGTTGTTTAGAATGATACGAACCATTACTGATTTAGAGAAGAAATCGGAATAGTACTTACGATTTACAAATAGCCAATAGCCCTAGTCGTTAGAAGAGCCCATACATCGGGGCTTACGACCAGGTTGCCCCTGATAAATAGAAGACATACTATGCGTTAAAGGAGGAATTTCTTATTTGAGCCCGGGATAGCGTCGACCTGCGGCAATGTACATCGTAGTCCTAAATTTACCATTGGCTCATGAACTCCAAAATTATACCACAGACTTGCAAGTAAAACTGTACCAAGTACGTAGGAAACTTAATATTTAAGGTAACTGAGACGCAGTTTCTCCAAGAGCTGTTCGCTACAGGCCGGTTGTGCATTGTTTGGTGGGGATTTTCGAATATGTACATAATATGTTAGCCGGCTTGTCCTAAAGGCTCGCTGAAACACAACACGTTTTTATCTTTTTTATTATTATTATTTTATACTCCTCTACATTGTGTTAACAAGTCTGATGGGAGAAGAAGGTGAACTTCTGCGCTGAGCCGAGATTAAAATTGCATATTCATGGCCCTAGCGGCAGCGGCAAAGTAGATCTCGAACTGAAAAAATAATTTTTAGAGTTAAAAAAACGCGAAAAAAGCAGAACTTGTGTGATTCGCTATGATAGAGGATTGATCTAAATATGCAAAGCAAGAACAATTTATCATACCAAAGTTTTGTGAAAAGACGAGCTCGGCAGTTTGTTCCATTTTTGATGACCGAAACTGTTAAAAATTGGACTTTAAACGTTGAAGCGATTTTTGCTCGGCAAAAATTTATTTTGCAATGTTTGAAAAAACAAGGTGGTTTAGACTAAGATAGACTCATGGGCAAAGTTTGAAAGAAATTGAATTTTCGCACCAAAACGCACTTGACAGCTTTTAGAGAGACTTGCTGCCTGTAACAAAGACATCTGATGCTAAATAACAGCTAGTCATGTTCGACCCAAAGACGAAAAAACATTACCATGAAAGAAATTTTGCGTCTGTGAAAACAACAACAACAAAAACACTCGGGATATACTAACAGACACAGTCAGATTACAGTTATTAGGGAGTGATAAAGACTGAACAGTAATTAAAAAAAACGGAGTGATATTCTGAGGGAACTCTGTTGGAAAGAAAGCTTACATTTTACAAGCCAAGTACCCTAAGCTGCCACAGCTCATCACGATTTATCAAGCATGAAGTGACAAGGAGTATTAACAATCCTGCTTGAGGACATCTTTGTGCACAGCAAGTTACCCCTCAAGTTAACCCTCCAATTCATCATGATCAGGCACTCATTTTTGCTCCCTGCCTAATATCGGCAGAGTTGGACTAGAATTATTTCACCGAAGATTACATCAGGGAGGGTAATAGAAACGTAACAACCAAGGAATTGTGTGAGAAATATATATTGGTTCTGATTTATTAGTTCTTCGTGACAAATTTTAAATTTACCGAGGAGACTCGCTGAAAGAAATGGTGATGCAATGCCATGTTAAGCTTCCCCAGCGTGTAATAGTCACACAGTCACAATTGTATTTAAAAAACAACCTTGTTACAGTGATGAACATAGTTTCTGAGTTGGTTATGGTAAACTTGGTGTAATTTGAATAAACAAGCTTGACATCAAACAGAAAAAAGGCTTTACTTCATGTCTCTTAGTTTTCTCTTTGGAATGTAAAATACTTGCCCAGATCCTTACGAACGGTTTCTTCAAACAGAGTTTAAACCAGAAATTTGTTGCTGTATTTGCTTTATTCTTTCCTAAGGTTCAAGAAAATTGTTTCCAAATATAATATTTCAAAGTAGATTATTGATTTAATTTGAAATGATGAAACTGTCAATGGCATAAAAATATACCAAAACTTAATCCTTTTGTGATGGAGTAATTCCCTCAAAAATTATAAAATGGATCTGAAAGTACTTGTAAAATACCAAAAATTCTTAAATTTCCTGTAAGAAGACCCACATTCGAATATCAAAATCAACACTGTCTTCTTCAAAGTAAAATATGTATCTAGGCAATATAAAAAATGTACTGGGGAGAAGATTTTGATCCCCAAGTTCCAAAGTCATATCTGTTGTTTGAGCTGTCGCACTTGAGTGTAAAAATGTAGTAGTATTCAAGGAACCATCACTATTTCCTCGTGAATGACAACCTTGATCAGAGTTCGAATGGCTCGTGCAATGATTAAAAATAAAACGAGTTCTCTCCGTCCATAACATAAGGAAAAATCATTAGAAAATTTTAACCAGTAAATCTAATAGAGTGAAAGGCAGTTAACGACTCACTATTTCCATAACATAAGGAAATTTCCTTCGACAACTTTTAACTAGTAAATCTAAGTGACCAGTCACTGTTTATCGCCGGGGGGGGGGGGGTGGTTGGAGAATTTTGGTAGAATTGCATGGTTTTCGGGTGGTACGAAGGGAAGATTAGTCGTCGCGGACAGGGTACAAAGGAAGTACTACAGAAAACTGACTGCAAGCGAGGAGGGGGGGGGGGGTCATTAGAGTAGCCTGAGGCCCCCCACCCAGGCGTTGAAATATTGACTGGTCCCTAAAACATTCGAGACATTTGACGACTTTCTTTCGTAAAAGGGTAAATATTTTCTACTGCTTATTGATCACCAGCTCAGTTTCAAGCAGAAAATGTTCCAGAAATGGCATTTTCTTGATTACATCATAGCCACTAATCTGCATCCATGCCACTGTTATAATGTTGTGATTTCATAGCATTGATACTCTTTTGCATTTTATTTCGATGCCCAATCAAGCTGATACCCATTTCTCTCCATTGTTTTTCTTTCAGTTCAGCGACTTTGTTCATATCATCGATCCGTGCGTCCCGGAATAATTCGGAATACTTCCCCATATTGATGTGTTGTAGCCACTCGTCTACTGACTGGAATTCTGGGGTACGGTTTCCTTTAGGACTGAAATAATGCATGAATAAATCAGTAAGGATTTCTTAAGGGAGTGTTTTAATCAAGGACCAAAAATGCCTTGACCTTTCCTTTTTTTAAACTTTTTCATTTCATTTCATTTTTTGTAACGTAGAATCTTTTGAGCGGGTGTTCATTTGCTTTTGGAATGGAGTTTCATCAGCTTTCGCGCCTACTGCAGTTTTCAGCCTTTTCTTCTGTGTCCTCCGATTCCTCGGATATTTCGAATGCACCTCGTTAAGATACAAATAATTCAACTGTTCTGATGTCAGCTAAACAAAAATCAAGAGAGGACTGTTTGGAAGAATTTCAAGGCCTTTTTTTTCGGTAAGAAGGTTGATGGAGAGATATTGAAAAGAACGAAATCAGATAGATTCGTAGATTTTTTTAAAAAAAGACAAAAAAAAGTGGTCTTTATTAATGATCCTTGGCTACCTTCCTTGACAAAAAAGCACATTCTGTTATAATAAGATGGAAACTTACCTCTCTGGGAGAGAGGATGAATCACCTTTCAGGAATTCTTGGGATCGAATTAGTTCATCCAGGCGATTGACAATATCAGAAAAATTAGGCCGTTTGGTTTTGTCTTGATGCCAGCATTCGATCATTAAACACTAAGATGTTAAGCTCCATATGCAACGAAGGTTCTCATGTTACGGCCCAAAAATTACTCAACATGACGTGCTTACGGCCTTAGGGCTTTGGAAGGCATCTAAATTCCAGTGATGTTTCTTCAAATCTCCTAACAGATCAAGAATTTTCGAGAACAAAATAGTGACGATTTGATTTGATAATCACAAAGACCGTTCTAGAAGTTAATGCAGCAGCAGAATTAGCTCTGCGTCTGTAATTAAAATGCTAGGAACAAACATAGATTAAGAATGTTGCGACACTGTACGTTGACATCTTCATGAGACTTTAAGCGCAATCTTTCAAAACTGCAGTATTTCGATCAAAATTTATTAATAATAATAATGCACACTTTGATATTGCATACTTATAAGTAAATGTGCTCAAACATTGTCGTTACTTCTTCTATATTAAAGCTTTTTACTGGAATGCAAGACATGACGAAAAAAGTGAAATCTGACATTTTTAGCTACTATATAATTTTTATCCTCGCCACAGGATAGCATATCAGAAAGTATGATCCAGTTAGACCGTACTATGATATTCTAAAGGGTAACCTAAGCTTCTTGGTATCGTCTTCAAATGTGCTTTTAATTCGTACGTTGCACTTACGCGTGTCGAAGCAGCTTTGCAGCTAGGGCAAATCGTAGTTACAAAACAAAGCAAAATACGTACGGCCCTTTCTCTGAAGTAAACCCAAAATTCAACTATATACCCTGCCATTTTGAATCTTGATACAACTAGCTACTACAATACGTATCTAACCAAGCAGATTTCCAGGAGGAACCTAACATTAAAGAAAGGTTCTTCATTTTCATTTCTACATATAATACCGATTTAGAACCTTACATAAGGTTTGTGGTATCTCGAGAAAAACTGTGTTAAGTTCACGATATAGTATTTGTAACATTATCTTATCCTATCTGATTTGCCACAGGGAATCGAAGATGAAGGATAAGGATTAAGCCAATTCAAACTAGGCACCGGGCGTCCACGCTCCCGTCTTTATCGTAAAAATTGGACATCTTTCATCACTCTTTGTTCGTTATCACATCAAAGTTGATGTAGTTATCGCCTTCGTAGACTTCCAAGTTCACATATGTCTAGAGAACAGATAAGATAGATGAGAGTTGTATAGGCGCCTGGATAATCTTTGTTCGTGCTTTTCGTGTTTGCTTAGTTTTGTTTTCGCGTATCTGTGCCCTTTTTTTTTTTAATTTGCATCGTATTGTGTTTCAGCCACCAGTTGAAAAAGGCGAGCTCGCTGAGTTGATATTATCAAAACAAAAGCAAAAGAAAAACAAAAAAACCGAACTACTTGATTGAAAGTGTATGACTTCTCGTATTCTTTCCCAAAATGCAACAATCATTGCCATTTCCGCCCTCCCCTTCCACCTTTTTTTTGTCCCAAAATACCCTTATACTTCTATGGTTGCAAACTTTTAGTTCCAAGTAGAATGTTGCTGGAACGAAAGTTCGAAAAGAAAGATGTCCTCAAAAAAAATAAAAACAGAAGCAATACTGAGCAGAATAAACATTTTGGACTGTTGGGGTTGGCTGGCTTGAGCACCTCGCGCAAACGTAGGCACCAAGAGTCTGATTAGGAAAATTTGAGTATCCGAGTATTCTTGTCTCTGTGTCTGTGTCTGTGTCTGTCTCTGTTTCTCCCTTATTCAGCCTTCAGTACGGGCTCTTAAATATGCTATCGGTGGGCATGTTTGGGCTTACGGAACAAGCAGATGACCTTTTAGAGCGCTAACCAAAAAAATTTCAGAAGACATTCGAAATGGACAAAAAAGTACTTGAAAACAACAAATCTTTGAGAACTTCTAAAACGTAAACAAAACTTCCCTTAGAGGGTTGTGAGCAAGATCAAGGACAGACCCAAACACGCCTAGCGATGACGATTATTGTACGAGAATTAAGCTCTACTATAACGGTCAAGGACACATCGCTCAAAAGGTAAAAATATATGTAAGGTCTTGTTGCACATAAAAAAAGGCTCGCAAGACTTTTATGAGGATTTTAACAAATCTAACAGTCCTAAACAATTCCCACACAGAACATTTCTCATTTCAGTGGCTCTCAAACTCTTCTAATTTGAGTAGTTTATAGCACAAAAAAAGAAAAAAAAAAGCAAAATAGGACATGTTCAAGGACGACCGACAGACAAACCTTATAATCATCCAATAACCGTTTGACCGCAGAGCAGAGCCACTGAAATGTTGGTCGCCTTTTAGGTTGCTCTTCCCAACATTTGGTCATGATGGAATACCTGAAATAAGAATGACATTCATATTTTTCTAACGATACCTTCAATTCACGGTTTGTCTTTTTCACTGTGGTTTGAAAGTGAAATGTGAAATACATAGTTATTATGAGTGACGTTTGTCGAAATACTAATTTTAATTGGTGTAATGAAAGAGCTTTTAACTACTCACAGATCTTGTGAGATGTGAGGTGGCTTAGGCATACGGTATCCTGTCTGTAGTAGGCCAGCAATTTCTCTTGATTTTACTCCCGGATATGGTGATCCACCTGAAAATAAAACAGACTAGTTTTTGAAGTACATATACACTGTACCATAACTGGCACTGGTTTATGACCGGGAGAGTCCTCCTTTAGTTGAAAATCTTCCCCTTTATTTACTGCAACAGGGAAGCAAATGTCCCAGACAATTCTTTTTCATATAACATTTTCTGCAATTTTTTCTTTTTGTATGAATTTTGTATTATTGTACGAATGAGAGGCTCACTGGTTTCTACATGATCATATGTCGCAAAACAACAAAACTGCACTGCTCGTGAGATATAGCACACTTTCTATCGAAACGTTCCTCAGGCGATCAGGCCAATGGAATCCACTGATCATGGTGATTCTCACTTTTCCTCATAACTAGTTCTATACTAAAGAAATTTATGTTTTTATGACCGTGCACCAATATACTTTCAAACGCAATCCTGACAAATATATGTGGAACCCACTGCGGCGATGATACCCGAGCCGATTTATGAAATCACTGATAAAACAATTCCGTCGTTATTTGCATCAGTAGTGATTACTTGTCTTGATGTAAAAGAAAGTGCAAAATCAGCCAGGGATCAAGATGGTAGCGAGAAGGTGCGAAACAACGCGGTGTAGTAAGTAGCCTTAGGATTCTTCTTCACAAATATCCACATACCAATGGTAAAGACCTCCCACATCACTATGCCGTATGACCATCTGTTTAAGACAAAAAGGCAGAAGCAATTCTCTTCAGCACCTTTTTTATTTTTTATGGTAGTTTCCATTGACTGTCGTAAAACGAAAAAACAAAGTAATCATAACAGCCAATCAGTGCCAAGAAACATATCACATGGAGCCAGGAGAACTTAAAGTGAGAAAAAAATCAAACTACCTGAAGCGTAGGAAAACACGAGTTAAAAAGTCGCGATTAGTTTTGGTTTGGAATTTTTTTGTTTAGAAAGTGGCGCGCGACCTCTTAAGACCAAGCACAGAGAAAAGAAAACCAAAGTTACACCTGGTAACTCTCGTCAAAAAATTGTAAACTGCTCTAACTCTCATGATGATACTGTTCAAGTGCAGAGTAAGAGCTTTTTTCTAATCAGTTATTTATTTCTATTGGCTGAACGCTCAGTTTTTAAGTTTCCCTTAGAAATGACTAGCAATGCCATTAAATTGAAACAACCTACACGTCGCTCATAGTGGTAGATCTGCCATACAAGAGAGATTCTGGGGGCATCCACTTGGCTGGAAGACGAGCCTTGAAAAGAATAATCATATAAACCTTAAATATGATTTCAAAAAAAAGAGACAACTGAAAGTTCTAAACAACTTTTTCATCAGTTAGTAAATAAACAAGTGAAAAAATAAGGATCGTTGGTGCAAAACTTTGTAGTTATATTGAGATATTATTGTTAATCACCTTAGTTTTTCTCGTGTAAATATCTCCCTCCAAACCACGCGCTAAACCAAGGTCTGAAATCTTGCACACTTTGTTGTCCCCAACTAACACGTTGCGAGCTGCTAAATCACGATGAACAATCTGAAACACAGCACAATAACTCAAGCTTGATACCCCGAGATATTTTCAGAAAAGCGCATTTGCATCTTGCTTTATATCACTTGTTTTAGTAGGTACTGCAGCCTATCTAAGAACGGCAACAGGCATAAAAGACTAAGAGGTGATTCGAAACCATTCCTCCTAGGACGATATCAGAAAGTTGCACTGTAATTTTTTTTTTATATAACACATCACTCCCATGTCACACATGACCATAAGGCGTAATTAGATTTTAGATGCTTTAACGGAATAGGTGTGGTATGGTTACCTTCATTGTTGACAAATAGCTCATACCATCAGCGATCATCCATGCAAAGGACAAGAGTTCCTTATCTGTAAGTGTTGAGCTTGGTCTCTTTTCTCCTGTGTTATAAGTATCCTCGATCCCTCTGCTCTTGCGCAAATATCCCAACAGATCACCGTATGGCAAATACTCCAACACTATGAGGAGTGGATCTAGAAGTATGTAACGGTGCTGAATCAGTCAATCTAATAAGTCTTTAAGTGAATTATTAAATTAGGTTGTCAGCAAGAAATCAGAAATTACAACTAATTATAATTTCCAGTACCTTTTTCAATACAACAGCCAATGAGCTCAACAACATGGGGATGAGGCCTCAAGGTTTTCATGAGATCTAACTCAGTCAGCATGTCTTGTAAGTCTTTCTTTTGGGCATCGCCTAGAAAAATTGGTAAAGATTCAAATGCCAACAATTACCGTGAGTTTCAAAGGAAACGATGTTACATTCTCAACCTAATATTATAATATATTTTTTTCCTCGGTTTTGAACGAGAATGAATTTATGAGTTCGTAAGATAAGATAGTAGAAAGCCATTTAATAAGTTAGGCTTGAATTCAATAAATTTTGTCGTCTTTCATGAGGCGATGTAACAATGCGTTTGAAAAATCAAGAGTACCTTTCAATGACTTAACAGCCACTTCGGAATTTAAAGGTTTATAGACTGCTTTGGACACTTGACCAAAGTTGCCACTCCCAAGCACCTTTACTGTTGTTATTTGATCTCGGTCAAGTCTAAAGGGATCCACTTTTTGCCGTTCAGCTGCAAAACTCATTGCGACGTCTATGTAAAGTTGTTAGTGATAACAATTAACGATAGTACATACACAGCATAAATAGGATGGGTGATTAAAGATTAAATCTGTAGTCTCCGCAAAAGCAGCCTAGTTTTATCTCGCAAATGTGCTTGAGTCAAATATGAAAAGATATAAAACGACAATGTGGAGACTTCCGTACTGTTTACAATTTTTTCCTATTTTTGGTTGTTGTTTTTTTCTTTCTCTGAATTTGACTTTGCTATCTAAGCAGATTGAATGGAACAAACGACGTTTGCATTAAACACGCCGACAATTTCCTATCAAGTGAAACGTCAGCAAATGACATACAGTGACACTGCATTAGTTGATCAATTTAGTTCAAAATGACAAAGTCCCCGTATTTTCTCTGTTAATGACATAATATTGCAACTTACCCTCATGAATCATAACACTGGTTTCTGTTGTTTTAGGAATTTTCTCACGGTTTGCATTTCTTCGACGGTTCCATCTGACAAAAATAGCATCAAATTAAATTCTTTGCAAGTATAGCTTAGAAGAAACAAAGCATCAACAATCTTTTAAGCCACAGTATAGATGCGTCAGTACCATCATTGTTAAAACTCAGTCTACAGATGCTTGTTGAACTTGTCGAACATTCCTTTAGCCAATAGTAGTCCTTGAAATCCTGCGAAGAGTGGTACTGTACAGGAATAGTAACCTCATGTTTAGTTTCATTAGTGTTCCCACACTTACCTGTTGTAGATGATGTAACATGCAAAAGACAAAATGCAAAGTACCAATGAACCAACCAATCCATAGATGATTTTGAGATACATGGTCACATCGGTTTCTGTTGGGTGAAGGGGAAGAATGTTTCATTTATTACAGTAAAGCTGACTAAATCAGACTAGAAATTACTTTTCTGTCATGCCGTATATGAAAAGTTTTTCTTTTAATATATTTGTTTGTCCTCGTCATCCTGACCCACCAGTGGTCTTGTCAGTTTGCAAAGTCTATATTAACGTTTATTTCGTAAGCACTCTCATTTTCGTCTGATAAAGTGAAAAAATAGCCTCGTGGCAAAGCCTTCTCATAGTGGTCTTCGACTAAGTTTGGTCGGTGTCACTGTTGCTTAGCAATTATGTCAATCTTAGGGGTAGATTGGCAAATCAACGCTGTACAAACTAACCTTCTCTAAGTGTGAATGTCTTCACACCAGCAGGACCCCTACCAAGGTCGTTTATAGCAAATACCTGAGGAGAAGAATCAAAAAGCCTGAGAGATTTCTTCCTCAAGGGCAAACAAAAAAATGGCTACTTCGAGTGTTGTAAGACTGCAGGGTGCAAAATCTCGTCCAATTAAAACCACAAAACAACAGAGGAGTATCGTAACTACATCAAAACACTATTAAGTCTTTAAGATGAACAATGTTGAGTTTAAGTTACACTAAACAATCTTATTTTATTTAACTCTTAAAACCTTAAAAATATTGACCAATTCGACGATTTAAATACAATTTAAACTAATGTAAAAATTCTGTCTACCTGGAATTCATAAGTCTTTCCCGCCTTTAGATCAAACTGCGCTTCCATTTTCTTAGTGGCAAGAGTCTGGGTTTCTGACAAATCATCTTCTCTTATATAAGTCACGTGGTACTCTTTGAGGACACTGTTCATGTCCTTAATTCTCCAAGATACAACAACAGCCGTTTCCGGTTGCTCAACATGCACTTCTGGTTTCCCTGGAACTAGTTTTTCAACAGAGATGAATACACCGTCACGACCTTGGGTCACCTATCGTTACTTACTTTGGCGGAAACTTAATTTCATAAAAATTGAACGAGTTTATTTCGGGGGAGTTTTTCAGTTTTCGCGATTTGAACAAAAATATATTTTAAAAGGAACTAAATATAGCAAAAATTGTCAAAATAGTGATCTGCATTAAAAGAAAGTTGGTAAAAGAATTGGCACGACTGTTAATATTTCATAACAGTAGCTTCAAATGACGCTCAACAAGACCATATCATAACAAACGAAACTGAAAACAGTTTGACGTATTCCCTCTACCTAACGACGATGACAATTTCTTCGAATGGATCTTAGGAAGAAAAAGCTGACTCTTCCTTTTCTACCCCAGCAACTCCTGATTTCTAGTAAGCCTTGAGGGTAGAACGAAATCATATGTATCTCATGAAGCAGCCATGAAAGTGGTAGAAAGTGTAGGTTTGGGTACAGCTGCCTTGTTTCAGTAAAACTCATGTTTAATTTGATATCGTTTTATCGCTGCTAAATGATTGAAGTGCTAGTTGAGAAAATCTAAATTTTAAAACGATATTATTATTAACCCTCATTATTCAGAACAAGTCTTAAATCAAAATTTTTGTAAAAGTGCTACAGCGTAAATTTTTAAGTGACTCGACCCATGCACCGAGTGAGAGAGGTAAGCATATCGATAGGAATTGTTGTGATATTCTATTCAGTCCTCGAACTCACTAACCTGATCCGTTGGTCCTTATAGTTATTTCCGTAAGGTTTGCTTCAATTCCATATTTTGTTTTCGCTAATTCGCTTACTCGGTTCTTAGCGAAGATTTTCATAGTGTAAACTTCAAATGAAGATAGATTTCCAACAATAACATGGGTAACGTTCAAGCCTTCCTTTTTTGGTGTGAAAATGACGTCACTTCCGCAAACTTTATTCACGCTCTTGTCGTGGTCTTCATCCTCATACGGCTTACGGCAGTCAATGTCATAAAACACTTGGGTCTGATCACCGGTCACTACAGGGGGCTGCCATTTTAACTCCAAGGCACTACGGTTAATGAAGATAACTCGGACATTTCTCGGGGCTGATGGTATAACTGAATTAGAATATATTATGAGAGGAATACAAGCAATATTTATTCAGGAATCATACTTTATAAATTATTTTACTTGTCTATTTTCTTTATTATTTATAAGGAAAATTTACTTGGTAAACTAAGCGACCACCCGATTAAAAGCCATCACACATGTTTCCTTCCTTCATATATATGAACTCCAAGGCAAACAAAGGTGCACCGCGCCAGGAGGATAAATAACGATTCGCAATTCAAACCTCACAGCAGACACGAACGTAGAGAGTTAAGAAAAATGTGAGGATGGATAACTTCTGACGTAAAAAAAGATAAAAAATTTAATAAAGACGTTTCCGTCTGAGACCTTCTTCAGTTATTTACAACTTTTGAATAAAAAAGAGCTTTAAATAAGATCGAGGTGCTAGTGATTACGTAATTAAAGGTGACAACTAATGAATAAGATACAAAATCACGTGAAACAGCAGAAAGTAGTGTTAATAAAAAGATGACAAAAAACAAAATTAACAAAGCGAAAAATATCGAAAAAAACAAGCCACAAAGAAAATAATGGACAAAATACGAGATAAAACCTAAAAACTAAAGACTAAAAAACTAAACTTGCAAAAACGAATAGCGTAACTGAAGAGGCAATGCGGCAAGCATTAGAAAAAGATAGACCCACTCTTACCAACAACTTGGCAGTTCCTAGCCACCTACCTCGGGTTCCAAAAGATAGGAAATGGAAACCTCCAACGTCAAGGTACCCTGAACTTGAACTATTTTTTAGCTAATGTACGGCGTGATCTTATTAATCCTGAGAACATTAGGCAAGCTAGTGATAACCTTTCTATAAAACAACGGGCTGCGCTTAAAGAACCTAGGAATTTTAATGTAGTGATTCGTATACAGGACAAAGGCTCCCGATTTGTATTAATTGATGAAAAGGATTACGAGGAAAAAATGTTTGGTCAGCTCAACAACCAGTTATATTATAAATCTTTGCAATCGGATCTAAGCATTTGGCATTAATGGAGAGTTGGCGTTCCAAATGGCTAGGAAAGGGTGTGATTTCTCCCGAAGTAGCTAAGAGGGTTTTAAATAATTGAGTTAGTTTTTTCTGAACGTGAGCTTCACGTACTTGATCTTACTTTATATCTTATCGATGGATTTATTAAGACAGACGTCTATTTCAAACCTACAGATAGTCACTTATATCTTCCACCTTCTAGCTGCCATCGTAAGCATGTTTTCAGGGCTATTCCTTTTGATTGAAAAGAAATTGCTCTGAAGAAATGTTTCTTGCCGAGAGAACAGCTGAGTACAAAGAGTGTCTTGTTAACCAGGGCTATCCCTCTAAATTAGTTTCGGATCAATTCTCCAAAGCCTTCGCCATTCCTAGAAATGATTTACTTAGGACTCGTGGAAAAGAAACGAAGAAATTATTTCCATTTGTTATTACATTTAATCCAAATTTACCCGACGTAGGCAACATAAACAGAAAGCATTTGTTCATTCTACAATCCAACCCCAAATTAAAAGAACTTTTTCCTCGAGGTTCTATCATACCATCTTTTCGTCGATCAAAAAATCTCAAAGAATTACTAGCACCATCTCGTTTTAAAACTGTCAACAAGGGACAAACAATTCATCACAACAATGGCTGTTCAAAATGCGATAGGAATAGACGCGACCTCTGACGGAACTTCTTTGTTGAATCTAAATCATTTCTTAGCTTTCAGACGGGTAAAAAATACATCATTCATTCCAGACTTTCTTGTGATTCTAAAATGTGATTTATTTGGTTTCTTGCAAGAAATATCGCTTGCAGTACGCGGGATCTACCACTACCGACTTTAGAATTAGGTTTCGTAATCACAAATCTGCTATGTTCACAAACAAAACAACTTGTGAAACCAGAATCCCACATACCCTAGGTGATTTTTAGTTCCAATGTATTGATCAGGTACAGGCCCGAGGCGGCTCTGAGGAGATCGATAGGCTTTTAATTATAAAAGAGGCTTATTAGAGTGCTCAGCTGTTCTCTTAGGCACCCCATGGTTTAAATAAAAGAAAGGAATTTCATTCGAAAAACAGAATTTGCTATAATTAATTTTCCATCCTATATTATTCGTTTCTGATTAATAGTTCAAAGGCCCTTTTCTTGGATTTTTTCAGCCTTTTAGGTGTTGATTGACTCAAAGGCCCTGCCAAGGGATCTTATCACTATTCTTTAAGGGCCCCTCCAGGGATTTTGTTGCTAATTTGCCCTTTCAGGCTCCAAAGGCCTTGTTTTGGGATTTTGGTAAGGTTTACAACTGTAATAATAATAATAATAATAATAATAATGTTAATAATAATAAGGATTAATAAGATCACGCCGTACATTAGCTAAAAATAGTTCAAGTTCAGGGTACCTTGACGTTGGAGGTTTCCATTTCCTATCCTTTGGAACCCGAGGTAGGTGGCTAGGAACTGCCAAGTTGTTGGTAAGAGTGGGTCTATCTTTTTCTAATGCTTGCCGCATTGCCTCTTCAGTTGCGCTATTCGTTTTTGCAAGTTTAGTTTTTTAGTCTTTAGTTTTTAGGTTTTATCTCTCGTATTTTGTCCATTATTTTCTTTGTGGCTTATTTTTTTTTTTATATTTTTCGCTCTTTCGCTTTGTTAATGTGATTTTGTATCTTATTCATTAGTTGTCACCTGTAATTACGTAATCCCTAGCACCTCGATCTTATTTAAAGCTCTTTTTTATACATTTATATACATCGCTCTACTCCTATGTATTCAGCACTGTGTTACGAATTTTTACGAAATTTTACACTATATATATAAATACAATTTTTCATATTAGTCTGCTAGAGCGAGTTTTAAGGAAACATTCTAACGCATTTGGTTTTATTGGTTTGTTGTATGGTTACAACAGGCAATTGCGTCATATTTGTGCAACAGATGCTCATACAGTAGAAATGACAAACGCGTAAGATACAATTTACGGATAAATGTCCCACGAAGATGTCAAAATTAATCGCAAGTGAACCAACATTTCGAGAGATCCACGGTAAAGTGATGCACTAATAGTTAAAAATAAATATTGGAGACAGCTAGGAACCACAAATATTTAACCAATAAGTATAATTGAACAGATGCCATTGAAACGACAAAACTATATTTGCATCCGTACCTGTGCAATTAAAGCCATTTATGTCGTTGTATTTACCTTCTGGGCAATCTGTAGAAAGAATGCAATAGATATATTGATTAAGTCCTTTTAAACATTTTATTCGATCTCAGCGAAAAACAAAGGAGTTGAGCTAAACTATGGAGTTGAGCGTTTATATCAGCAGTAACCAGTGACATAGGAAAAGCCCATTACCTTCAGTTGTAGCCCCAATGCATGATAAAGTCATCCTTATCACAAACAAGTCACTTTCCAAACGAAAAAAATACAAAGAGTCTTCATTTTAACTAGGATTTCAACTACTTAAGTGGAAATTTATCCTGTGAACTTTGAATTTCGTTTACTTTAAACTTACGCTCGTAATTGACTACATAGTTATCAGTTTATTAGGTTCTTTCCTTAGAGTTAGAGTTTCCACCATTTATTAAGCGCTATTGCAATGACTTAGATATTAAGCTGGTTTTCTCTTCCTTCATGATCGGCAACTTGAAAGACCCTGTCCATGACGGGCTCCGTTCACGTGTGGTTTATAAGTTTGTATGTGCTGGCTGTAATGCCTGTTACGTCGGTGCAACGTGCCGGAATGTTTCCACACGTGTTAGAGAGCACTTAGTCAGTGACAGGGCCTCTCACATTTTCAAGCATCTGCAAGATTCTGCCCATTCTTGCGCTTTGTGTTCAGCAGATAACTTCCATGTTTTAGATCACGCCTCTACCGGTTTTCAACTTTAGACAAAAGAGGCTATTCACATTCAAAGAATCAACAATTACCAGGTACACCATGTAAAACTATCGTTTCAATTCTCACACTTTCATGCGTTACTTTTTTTCTTGTTGTCTTTATTTATCATAGCTAGCATTGTTTGTAAACTATCGCAGAATGTGAACTTTGATGGTTTGACATTTTTGACAGCTTTAGTCTTGTACAGCCAATCAGATTATTTGAACCATTCTAACAGGGACTCTGATTGGCTTATTGTAGCGTGCTTTATGAGAGTAAAGAGCATGCTGAAGACACTGTTGTTCGCTTTGGAAATAAAGTTTGTTTTGAAAATCGAAAGTAATACATGGGGAATTTAACGGATTCTTTATTATAAAACAAATATAGAAGCCTTGACTTTGCTCTTTTCCGTTGTAAAGCACTTGGGAAGCGGCTAGAGCGCTCAAGAAGTGAGTAACCTTTCCGATGCGTTGAGTGGAAGGCCACATCAGTCACTGCAGCCGACTACGTCTCGTGTTTCCCCCTACACTTCTTTCATGCTCTAGCCGTTTCCTAGGTGCTTTACAACAGAACAGAGAACAGTCAAAGCTTCTCTATTTGTTAAATCATGTTGCCAGCCTGAGAAAGTTTTAGTTTTGAAGAATTATTCAGCACTGCACTTCTATATTATTATTTTCGCTGATTTTCATTCTTGATACTCTATTTCATTACCGAACTAAAAAATTAATCATCTTTTTGTCCAATCATGTTGCCAGCCTGAAGAATTATTCAGAATTGCATTTCGATGTTACTGTAATTATATATACCTTTGCATCCCCCTCTGGTATTCTCCATATCCTCCTTGCACACACATCTTCCGTTCAGTGAACTCAAGTTCCAGACCCCATTACTTTGGCAGTTCACCCTAAAAATACCTTGCTCGTGGACGGCATTTTTAATACAATTAGCTACAACTGGCTCTGAGTTGTTTTCTGGAGCTATTGTACGTGGTACGTACACCAAACGACCAACATGAACTGTCTCTGGGCAGAAGTAATATTTAACAGCGACGGAGTAAAGGACAGTACAAGAACCCTGGTCATGAAAAGCCAATACGATGTACTTTCCTTTAACAGTTACTCTAAACGTTTGAGACACTCTGATGCCAAGAGCTGACGGAGCTGTTCTAGCAATCTTGTCATAAGAAGCATTGTCTGTTAGAGGGTGGGGTTCTATTGGTTGCTCAGACTGATGCACGTATAAGTCGAAATACTCTTTGCAATATTTCCCTCCATTGTCAGAATAGGACGAACAGTTCTTAGTTAGGTACTCAATAGTAATGTCGACTGCTTTCACTCCACTGTGGATCCCTATAGCTTTACTTCTAAGCCAGTTGTTTGGTTGTGGGTGTCCATTCAGAGAAATATCACAGGTTTGGTAATAGGTCGGCTTCACCCACTATTAATCAGTTGAAATAATATATTAGGAGGTTATTAGGTTCTATCCATTAAAAAAAGAGCTGTTTTCGATTGTAACCGAGGTTGTGTAATATGTCTGCTTCGCCCACTATTAATCAGTGGAAATAATATATCACATGGTTATTAGGTTCTAATAAAATTAGAAAAAAGAGCTGTTTTCGATTGTACCCGAGACACACTGGATTTCACTCATTATGGCACTGTGTTTGGGGGTTTTAAACCTCTAACTGAAGAGGCAAAAACAATTTAACTTGCATGTTCAATACCACGACTTGTAACGGATCTTCTTTTGCATTCAAGATCCATACGATCCACACGGATCGTCTAATGTATCCACGAGTCATACGATCCGTACGGATCGTGTAATGTATCCACGAGTCGTACGAACTGTACGGATCATGTAATGTATTCACGGGTCGTACGATCCGTACGGATCGTTTAATGTTTCACGAGTTGAACGACCCGTCCGGATCGTCCAATGCCTCACGAGTAGTACGACCCGTACGGATCGTCTGTATTTACGAGTCGTACGATCCGTACGGATCGCTCAATGTATCTACGAGTTGTACGACCAGTACGGATCGTCTAATGTATTCACGAGTTGTACGACCCGTACGGAGCGTCCAATGTTTTCACGAGTCGTAAGGCTGTGTTGACGATCCGTGAATCTCATTAAAGCTTTGACGGTTTAACAATCCATACCACCCGTGCGGATCGTCTTATGAATTCACGAGTCGTAAAATTTTCCAGACTATACGTGAATTTCAGTAGAAGTCTCTCTAGCCATGACTTAGTGCGTGGACTCGTACGATCTGAGTGGATCACGCACGAAGTGCACAGACAACGAGTGTTTTCCTCGTTTGACTAAAACGTACCGTGCGAAGAGCACAGACAGCAAGTGTATTCGTCGTTCTAAAAGTACCGCAAAGTGCATTCCTCATACTAAAAACTCCACGCGAAGTCCGTTATCAACAAGAGTATTCCTCGATCTACTGAAAAATGCACTGTGCGAGGTGCACAAACTGCAAGTGTATTCGTCGCGCTAAAAGCACCGCGTAAAGAGTTTCGCGTACGCGCCTGACTTTCGCTTTTGACATCAGTCGCCTAGCAAGAATATTGTGTGCTAGTGAAAAAGATTAATTGAATGAGATATCCATTGAAATCGCAACTTTGTGAAAGGAAAAGGATAAAAATTTTTATTGTTTTCAATAACAACGAAAAGTAACGTGAACTCTGTTTCAATCGAATGCAAAATCGATGCATGTGACGGAACATCGAATACACTTACTAAAAGTGTTTTGAAGAATATTCATAATTACGAGTAGTTCACGTAAAAGTTCGGGTTCCATCATTTTTTCTAAGTTCTTCTGTTGGCCTTTGAGCAGCAGGAGTTTGCCTTAATCGATATCGAAATAAAATCAACGCTCCATTTTTTGTTCCCAGTTATTTCCAATGAAGTCCATTTTTCTTTCACGACAACGACGTGCCACTTTCCCTCCAAAACCAACAACTTTTGGCGCAACCTACATTTCTCTCTTTCCATTAAAAATATCGAACCCATTGGTGCTCCGGGCATCAAAGATGCTCCTCGAAGCAAAGCTTATGAGATTCACGGATCGACGACGGATCGTACGAATCGACACACTTCTGCAATTCTCAAGATGGCAGGTACACGTGTGAAGCAGGCGCTCAGCAAATTTTCCCTTCTGCTGTGTTTATTCTTGATATTTTGTCAGTTCAACTACGACATAACTATTCATAAAAGCTCAATCTACATGATGGTGAGCGCTGGTTATGATGCCAAGTTTTACCCGGGCCGTAATGACGGTTTGAGAAGATCGCGTTATGTTGTCTCGGATACTACTGTTCCCTCGCTCAAGGGCTACAGAATCCGGAAAATTACACAGCTTAGTCTGTGCGCTGCTGGTCTTATACTATTAGCTGGTGATATCTGTCCTCAACCTGGTCCTACATTTCAATTAAACAATTCTGGATTATCGTTTGGCCCCAAAAGTAGAGGATTAGCTCTAGCTCATCTTAATATTCGTGATCTGCTACACAAGATGGATCAAATGAACCTCGTCATGGGCGGTGCAAAGTCGTTTGATATATTATCATTCTCGGAGACTTGGCGAAATGATATGGTGACTGATGACGAGATTCTCATGCCTGGCTATAGCTGTGTGAGGCGGGATCGCCAAAGAAAGGCTGGTGGAGGAGTGGCAATTTACTGCCGCGATTCTATAAATTAAACTGTTTGCGAAGATCTAAATAACGCGAATGAAGCTGTTTGGATTCAAGTGAACCGAAAAAACTGTATACCTTTTGTTGTTGGTTGTATCTATAGACCACCAGATCAACCTATAAACAATTTTATTGATAACTTCAGTGAATCACTGTCTAAGATTGACTCTGGCTTTAACAAGGTCGTCCCTGGTGACTTTAACATTGATTTTTCAGTTGGAAGGAGAAATGCAAATTCGTCTCAGAAGCGATTGCTCAAGGGAATTAGTGGTCTCCAACACGCGTCACGGAACACTCTGAATCTCTTATCGACTTGTGCTTTACCAATGCTCAACAAAAAATTACCGAGTCCGACGTTATAGATCCTGGTTTGAGTAATCATTCTTTGGTTTACTGCGTAATGAAGAGCAGTCGTTGTCGAGTTCCACCAAAAACGATCCAATTTCGCTGGTATAAAAACTACAAGAGAGATTCCTTTGTATCTGAACTCAGCCAAGTACCTTGGCATGTGGCTGTAAACAACCATGAAGATATCGACGACTGCATTGACACCTGGAGTAAACTATTCTCAGAGGTTGCCGAATCCCATGCTCCAATAAGAACAAGCCGGGCCAGAGGCTTTTCTATTCCTTTGTTGAACTCTCACGTTACAGATCTTATGAATAAGCGCCACCTGAAGAAAGCCAAGGGAAATAAATGCAGGACCTCTTGTTGCAGCGTTTAGATCACCCCTGATGAAGGCACTAGACAGGAGTGTCGAAACGTTGGGTCTATGAATTGTAACTTCTTCGGTTACATTCATTAAATCTGCAAACCAGTGTAGCATCAAACTATGTCTGAATGCAGTACTCATTGGCGTCTGTACCGTGATCTGAGGAACAAAGCCACCTATAGCATCAAGAAAGCCAAATCCGATTATTACACTAACCTGATAATTGACAGTAGCAAATCAAGCGCTAAAGACTTCTGGAGAGCTTTCAAACCAACCCTACCCTCGTCTAAAACGTCCTCCAGAATTACCAGTCTGTTAGCTGATGGCACCCTTCTCACCTCAGCTGAATCTATTGCCTCGGCTTTTAATACATACTTCGTGAACGTTGGAAAATTTCTTGCCATTCTACCTTTACGTTACAACCGATTAGTGAAGATTTTGTTTCAAGATCTATCAGTTTACTTAAAACTAATAAGGCCGTTGGTCTCGACAAAATTAGCGAGCGTCTTCTAAAAGATGCTGTGGATGTTATTACTTCTTTTTTAACCATTTCTGGATACTTGATGACGTCACCAACATGGATGTCGTAGTGGGACATCGAGGAAACTCACTCATTACTTTATTCGAGCCCTAGCGACTTAGTTCCCTACCCATATCCCATGAAACCCTGCAAAATAACAGAAGACAAGCAATTACACACAACAAGCAAAGAACTGATGGTGGTCGCGATGACGAGAAGGAAAAATTCAGATGAAAAGTCGGGTGGAGGTCCATGTTGCGAAGGGCTCGATCGAGGAATAACCTCTATTTAGTTGAGGTTTTCAGGTATGCAACATTTTTTTTTATTCCTAAAAAAAATATTTTAAAAAACTAGAATAAATTTGCTTCCAATTTGTCAAAATTCCAATCGAGTGCACGGGGTTTTTGCTCGAGTGCACGAATGTTGAAAGTCTGTTAGTGTGCAAACTACCAGTGGGATTCCTTTGTTCAGATCCATCGGAGTATCATGTAAACCATAAATGTTAACCATACGTTGTGGCCAGCCAATTTAAAGTAAAAGTACAATTATTTATCGGACCTTCATAAGCCTACATTGTGAATATCAGATCAAGCCAACAGCATGGATGAACACATTCAGTATCTCGAGACACTGTCGTCTTTGTGGCACAAATCTGCCACGGACCTGGGTCAGTGCTACAAACAAAGAATCTTTTAAATCGGAGCTCTGGATGAAATTTCGAATCAATGTCGATCTTGACATCAGAGAGATTCATTCAGCCAAGGCGAATGCACACTAAAAAATAATTTCAGGAAACCACGGATCTAACACATAAATGTGATTATCCAGCGAGTAAGTTCTCCTTTGGGCAAACATAAAACAAAGAGGTATTCGTTCACTGAGCTCTCACATCTTCAGGTATCGTATCCGGGAAATGTGCGATAAGAGCGGCATGAAGATGAAAATAAAGAAATCACATTGGTGGAAAGCCTTGCCGAAGTGTCTCTATTTCAGCAAATCGCAGAGAAAGACATAAACTTTAGGAGATGTCAAAGGGCAGCAGATCGGCACGGTTCAGCACTTTCTAAACACACAGCTGCATGCTTTGCTTCGATGTGGCAAAATAACCGGGAATTGAAGGGTAAGTTACTGTTTTCTTGCTTTACTGTTACTTTTTCGGAAAGGCTTGATGGACTGAAATTGATAATGTCTATTTAAAAATCGGAGAGAAGCAAGATATTGTCTTTCCTCGACCTATACTGGAAATTGTCCCGATTCCGCGATCTCACACCTCACTCGTCCCAATTGTTATCAGTGCGCGTTATTTGGTTCAACCTTATTTAATTGGTTTTCTTGTAACCCAAAATAGGGAAATCAACGGAGAACGGACGGTAACATCGAGGCCAAGCTCTACCCAGAAGTTCTCCAGATACTGAAACAGGCTGGCGGAGGAGCTTTTATTCCTGTGACGCTCTTGGTGGAAGGACCACAGCGTTACAAAGAATTTGTGCTAGAAAGAATCCGCTTTACTCTTCCAGAATGCGAGAATGTCGAGGACATGCATGTTGAATGTTTGAAATAAACGAATATTTTTAATGGTATCTTACCTCCAGTCCTTATTAGCGAATTTTGTCTCAGCTTAATACCGCATTACAACATGGCCGCCACAAAAAAAAAAAAATCAGCTTCTTCTTGTTTCAAGCACCTCTCGGCCAAATTTGCTTTGTTTTGGTTTTGATCTCACCCGATCACAAAGCTCGAAACCGATATCCAGAAATGGTTATGGCCCGAACTGTTAACGGCCTTATTTAATTCATCCCTTCAAACAAGAATTTTTCCTTCTATAAGGAAAACAGCAAAGGTTATACCCTTGTTTAAAAAGGGTGATAAACAGAACGCTTCTAATTACAGGCCAATTTCCATTCTGCCGACTATAAGCAAGATCTTAGAGAAGGCCGTTCATACTCAGTTTTATCTAACTGAGAATAATTTAATTTCACCCAACCAGTTTGGATTTAGATTAAAGTCATCTACTGTTACTGCCGCCTCTCAGCTTTCTGATCAGATCCTTCACTCCATGGACAATGGTTGCCTGACCGATGCCGTAATCTTAGACCTCGCCAAAGCGTTTGACACTGTCCGTCGCGGAAATGCCTCCTTAATGTCTGAGCTACAAGTGTTACAGAATAAGGCCGCTCGCCTCATTTTAGATCTTCCTGTGCATTTTTCTGCAGCTGAGGCGCTGAAGAGACTTAGCTGGAAGCCATTATTGCGACGTATAAAGGAACATCATGCTATTTTTATGTATAAATTGATTAGCAACCATTTCTGTCATTCTGTCCCTGTCACATTCAATGATGATTTTCATAGTTACTACACAAGATTGAGAAATGATATTCGCAAATCCAGTGCCACAAGAAGATGGGGCCATTGGTCGTCAGTAAATTCTAGCGCTGATATATTTACATTCTTGTATCTTTAACTAGTTATATTTGATGCTTGATGATTGTATATACTCTTTTAATCTTTTACATTTTTGTATGTTTAACTAGTTCTTAATCTAAACTTAGTATTCTTCTGAGGACCCTTCTGTAAACCACTTCGTGACGTTGGCATCCTCATTAAAGATTATTATTATTACACAGCACCATGCCAGTGGTGTGAGGTGAAAAGCTGTTATTCTCCCTGATAAGAAGCACTACCCGTGAATATAGCTGTACAGCTCGTACGACTCGTGAATACATTAGACGATCTGTACGGATTGTAAAACTCGTGAATACATTAGACGATCCATACGGATCTTGCGACACGCGAATACATTAGGTGATCAGTACGGGTCGTACGACTCGTGAATACATTACACGCTCCGTACGGGTCGTACGACTCGTGATTACATTGGACGATCCGTACGGGTTGAACGACTCGTAAATACATTAAAAGTCGTACAAGTCATACAAGTCGTATGGATCGATAAGTCAGTTTTATCACTCGAAACGATCCGCGGTATTGGACAACCCTCCAATTCAAAAGGAGACAACCTCTTCAAGGAAAAAAATTCCTGTCTATTTTCCAACTGCATGTTCATTCAATCTTGAAGGAGAGATTAGATTTAGAATTATAAGCAGTGAATAGAAAAAGCGTCGTTTAAATGCATGAAGGAGGTGCCCTTGAAAATTTGAAGTTAACCAGCCAATAAAATGATTGTCTGATTATCTCTGGCTATCAAACGTGTCCTTTAAGGAAATTTTACCGCATGACAAGGGCTAGAAAAATGTTTTTAAACCAGTATTTGAGATGCAATTTATCATTTACCTTCTTTATTGCAGTCAAACTTGTTCACTAAACATAACTTAGTCGAAAGATAAGATCTTACCCCAGCAGGTCCACCAGATCCCACTGACGGCTTCAATGAGTCCCATATCCAGCTCTTAGATGGTGTTGGCTGTTGTTCTAAAATCACTTTAGAGAACATACGTTATCATTTCAATACCCATAATTAGTACTTCACAGTACAAAAACTGCATGTAAGAACCGTAATTAGCTCATATACAAAAAAGGGTTCAATTATTTAGATGAAGAATCGATAATGTGAAATAACAAGTAGTACTTTACATAAACAATATCTTTTAAAAATATCAATGAATTGTAGAAAAGTCTTTAAACTTTTCATTTCATTTTTCTTTTGTTTTCGTATTTTGTATGTAAATGTTGGATAAATCTCGTTGGATGCTTTAACCCATTGGCTCCTCTAAACATGCTTTCGTAAAAACTCTTCATAAATTGTTTACCCTTGTTACAAAATTTCACAAGCAATTATACCGTACCTTGATCCGCTGATGAAAAGGTTACAAAAATAGGGAGAATGAGCATGGCAATCGACCAGTTATCCATTGTGCATGTGTCACACCTTGACCTATAGAAACACTTTATTTCAAGACTGAAAGAAAAAAAAAAACAACTTGAAGGTCTTTAACTTACTCTACTCGAATGTCACCCGACCGGTGAGTAATTATCTTTTTTGTCGACCAAATGTATTTTCTCATCCAGCCACAACTGAGTATTAAGTGACATCGATACTCAACTCACCAGTTAGAATAATGAGTAAAACTAAATAACTACTATTTTTTACATTGAAGTAACCAAAAACATAGGATGCATAATTTCAGCGTTCAAACAACGTTCAAATTTTTTCACTTTCTAGAAGCGCTTGAGGATTCTAAATGAAGGTAAAATACTTCCAATCGAAATTGGTATTTTTCAAAGAGAAATATGGAAAAATATCAGACTGCCGGACGTTTAGTAATTCGAAGACCGTGTCTGGTGAAAATTTTCTTAGTGTCACGCTTGGATCTCTTCGCACTCTGCGAACAAGGTCAGCGAAATGGACAACGTTGGAATTTTTTCACTTTCTAGAAGCGCTTGAGGATTGTAAATGAAGGTAGAATATTTTCCAACGAAAAATTGGTATACTTCAAAGAGAAATATGGAGTTATTTGAGGACCGTGTCCAGCCATGTCATTGAAAAGTTTTTAAGTGTCAAGCGTTTGGATGGCTTCGTACTCTGTATACAGGGTTAGCGAAAAACATCAAGTTCGAAATTGTAGGCTGCCTGGAAGCGCTTGAGGATTGTAAATAAAGGTAGAACATTTTCGTATAAATATTTTTTGGATTTCGAAGAGAAATATGAAAAAATATCGGACTGGCGGACGTTTAATTATTTTAAGTTTAGTCACTTCATTGCAGGAACGTCAGTGACACTGACAGTTTGCGTTACAATTCACATTTGCTGCTTTGCATGGACAACAACCTCGACCACTCTTTCGAGCGCAAGCTCCTCTCCACGGGCAGGAAACTTCAACTGACCCTTGGTCCTATTTAACAAGGATGGCAAACTTCAATTTTAAAAAAATTGATGAATGGATGAAAACGTGGTGGATCAACATTTTCACCTTCTTCGAAATGCTCGCGAGGACTTTCGTGTTCCTCTTTAGCAACAACCTATCCATAAGCGTTTACTGCCTCGGAATCTACAAAATCAATGGATTCATCCAATTCCATGTTGGATTAAGACGTATAGAACTGTTTTAAACAGAATTATTTTGACAAGCTCTTCAATTCATCGGAGAAAACGCAGAAGGTATTTTGAAACAACGTGACAAGGCGTTGGGGCAAGGCGCTATTTAAACAAAAGCGGTGGTTCATAACAAAAACAAACGACTGCGCTGCATCAAGGTTGGAAATGGGCCTCTGAGCGGAAATCATAGTGTCACGTTACTGAACAATATTGTTTGTGGTTTTCTGTTGTTTCCTGTTCCAGTTAGGTGTCTTTGCACGAATTCTTATTCTAATGGAGAATATGTAAGGAATGTACAATTTTGAAGCCCCTCATGTGCTCGAGAACGGAATCCGTGAAGAAAACCGAGGTACGTACACATTTGCTATCTCGGCTGTTCGGCCGACCCGGACACTTAGCAACAAAGTTCGTCAGCAGACTTTCTAAAATTAAAGTCCCATACTGAATTGAATGGCTGCGGGTCGTTGTGAAACCTCTAAAGCGCGCGTTTAAAAGTGAATTTGTGATTATGTTTCGACATACGTGCTTGGCTTCACAGAAGACACAGATCGCAAGTCTTGCTCGAGACGTTGTCAAGTTCTAATCGAAATAATTATGATCATGCTGATGCAAATATGTTGCCGAATCCACAGATTAAGAACTAGATTTGTTAATAGCAATCCTTGGTTGAGTCTTAGAGAAAAAAATACCGTCTTGTAAAACCATAAATTTATTCATGATTGTTACCCGAACTTGCATATGACTACTGAACCATGTTAACAGCCTTTCCTCGATGGCAAGTCTTACTCATACACAACATTGAAGCCTGTAATATTTTTCTAACTGGCGACTCTAGGGCATCATATTAGAACGGCCAGGTGATACTTGTTTCCTTGGGGTTTTCACACTTCCTCATTCTGCTAGCAAGTAATTGCGTTCATAATTGTAATTAGCTTATGTCTAATAGTGCATATGTAATCACATTCCGAAGGAAATTTATCGAAACGCTCTTCTAAACAGAAGACTGAAATTTGTCCTCATGCAAAGTTACCGATTGAACAAATTTAATCAAAGCTTTCATAGTTATGCTGTACAGAAGTATGAAAGGGAGTTAATTTTCATCTAAACGAAAAAGGAGGGAATCTCATGCCAATTAGAATTATATTCCCGGCTCTAGTTTTACACGCAGTTGTTTATACTGATACAATCCATTACTGATTAAGTGCAGAAATAAGAGTAGTACTTACGATTTACAAATAGCCAATAGCCAATAGCCCTAGTCGTTGAAAGAGCCCATACAACGGGGCTTACGGCCGGTGTGCTTCGGATACTAGAATACTGCCTATTTGAGCCTGTGATAGCGTCGGTCCGCGGTAATAGACATTTTAATCTTAAATTTACCATTCGCTTATGAACCTTCAAAATTATGGTATTTCTGACGGTTGAGTCTGCGAATAAGGTAGAAATAAATGTGTAGTCGGCACGAGATACGACAAAGCCTGGGCCTTAGGATCGAGCATCATGGGTAATGATGCAGTGGTACATAAGGGGAGTATAGCGCGTGGTGTCCATGTAGACCTCAGAAGCAACCGTCCACCTCTGGCTGATGACAAATTTATTTTAATTTGAAGACTTATTTTTAACTGTGAAGCCTCGTAAGACGGGCTACCAACTGCACTGAGTTTGGGCCATGGTTCCTACCCAGATTTCCTGTCAATTTTCTGTCAGGTTTTTTCTGGCCTCCGTATAACCGCAGTAATGTCCTTGTAAGCGGTTGATGGTACATTAGTTGCGAATGTAAGCTTGTTTGTATGCCTAGAGCAATACATGCCTCGTGTTGGTTCTTGGCAGGCTTCCCTAAATAAACTTATTTGGTTTATACTACTGTGTTATTTGTTGTGTGGTGGAGACTGAATATACCGCAGACTTGCAAGTAAAAACTGTACCTGGTACGCAAGAAACTTAAAATGTAAGGTAATTGAGACGCACTCTCTCCATGAGCTGTTCACTACAGGTCGGTTCAAAACAGCAATTTCCTTCAAAATTTGCTCATAAATGCTTAGCTTTTGCATATAGCCCAAAGTTAAGTTTTTTATATGCCACAATTTTTTATCCTGTTATCAGTTATCAAAAAGCCATCGCTCATTTTAGGCGTCAAACAAAAGTTGGCGATGTGATTTCCGGGATCAATCGAGGCCACTTTTTGTGCATTGTTTGGTAGAATTTTCGAATATGTACAAAATATTTTGATCGGCTGTCCTAAAAGTTTGCTGAAACCATGACACATTTTAATTTTTTTTTATTTCATACTCCTCTACCTTGTGTTAACAAGTCTGATGGGAGAAGAGGTTGTACTTCTGCGCTGGTCCGAGATTAAATTGCATATTTGTGGCCTTAGCGGAGTGGCAAAGTAGGAGTCAAACTGAAAAAATTTATAGAGACATCTGATGCTAAATAATAGCGAATCTTGTTCGACCCAAAGACGACAAAGCATTACCACGAAAGAAATGTTGCGCCTGCGAAAACAACGACAAAAGCAACTCTCGCGATATATCAACAGGCATATATACAGATCGCAGTAAACAGGAAATGATAAATGCCAAACGGTAATAAAAAAAAAAATAAAATAACGGAATGATATTCTGAGGGAACTCTGTTGGAAAGAACGCTTACGTTTCTCAGGCCAAGTACCCTAGGCTGCCACAGCTCATCACGATATCTTTAGCATGAAAAGATAAGGAGTATTAACAATCCTGCTGGAGGACACCTTTTTGCACAGCAAGTTACCCCTCAAGTTAACCCTCCAATTCATCAGGCACTCATTTTTGCTCCCTGCCGGATATGGGCAGAGTTGGACTAAAATTATTTCGCCGAAGATTACATCAGGGAGGGTAATAAAAATGTAACTACCAAGGAATTGTATGAGCAATATATATTCATTCTGATTTATTAGCGGTTCGTGAAAAATTTCAAATCAGCCCAGCAGACTCTCTGAAAGAAATGGTGACGCAGTATTAGGTTAAGTTTCCCTGGCGTGTAAGTCACACAGTCGCAATTGTGTTCAAAAAACAACCTTGATACAGAAATGAACATAGTTTTCTGAATTGGTTATGGTAAAGTTAGTGTAATTTGAATAAACAAGCTTTACATCAATGCTTGCCTTCATGTACCTTAGTTTCCTCTTCGGATTGTAAAATACGTGCTCACATCATTATAAACGGTTTCTTCAAACAGCGTTTAAACCAGAAATTTGTTTCTGTATTTGCTTTATTCTTTCCTCAAGTTCAAGAAAATTGTTTCCAAATATGATATCATTCTAAGGTAGGTTATTGATATAATTTGAAATGATGAAACTGTCCATGGAGTAAAAAATATATCAAAAAAATAAAATTGTTGAAATAGCCAAGTAATTAATCCTTCTGTGATGGAGTAATACACTCAAAAATTATAAAATGCACATGAAAGTTCTTGTAAAATACCGAAAAGTTCTTAAATTTCCTGAAAAAAGACTCACATTCGAATATCAGAATCACGCACTGTCTTCTTCAAAATAAAATATGTACCTAGGCAATATAAAAATTAAGTTCTCTCTACTGGAGAAAGGATTTTGATCCCCAAGTTCCAAAGTCATATCTGTTGTTTGAGCTGTCGCATCACAGTTTTTTCGTAAATGACAACCTTGGTCAGAATTCGAATAGTTCGTATAATGTTTAAAAAATAAAACGAGTTCTCTCCTTCCATAACATAAGGAAAGATCATTGGAAATTTTTAACCAGTAAATCTAATAGAATTAAAGGCAGTTAACGACTCTCTATTTCCAAAACATAAGGAAATGTGGTACGACAACTTTGAACTAGTAAATCAAAGTGACCAGTCACTGTTTATCGCCTGGGTAGGAGGGGGATGGCGGGGGGGTTGGAGGCTTCTGGGGAGAATCGCATGGTTTCAGGGGTACGAAGGGGAGATTAGTCGCCGCTGACAGAGTATAAAAGGAGGACTACAGAGAGTTGACTGCAAGCGAGGGGGGGGGGGGTTCATTAGAATACGACATAGCCTAAGGCCCCCCACCCAGGCGTTAAAATATTGACCGGTCCCTAAAACATTCGAGACATTTGACGACATTCTTTCGTAAAACGGTAAAAATTTCCTACTGCTTGTTGATCACCAGCTCAGTTTCAAGCAGGAAATGTAGCAGGAATCGCATTTTCTTGATTACATCATAGCCACTAATCTGCATCCATGCCACCGTTATAATGTTGTGACTTCATAGCATTGATACTCTTTTGCATTTTATTTCGATGACCAATCAAACTGATGCCCATTTCTCTCAATTGCTTTTCCTTCAGTTCAGCGACTTTGTTCATATCATCGATTCGTGCTGCTCGGAACAATTCGGAATACTTCTCCATGTTGATGTGTTGTAGCCACTCTTCTACTGACTGGAATTCTGGGGTATGGTTTGCTTTAGGACTGGAATAATGTATAAATAAATTATTAACGATTTTATAAGGGAGCGTTTTTAACTAAGGACTAAAAAGGCCTTGAATTTCTTTTTTGTCTGAGCTTTTTCACTTCAATTCATTTTTTGTAACGTAGGATCTTTCTGCGTCCTCCGGGTCCGCCACCTAAATTTAAATACCCTGGATGTTTTCGAATGCAACTGGTTAAGATACGACATGTTCAATTGCTCTGTAGTCCGCTTAACGTAAATCAAGAGAGGACAATTTGGAAGACCTTCGAGCCCTTCTTTTTTTTTTTGTTAAGATGGAGAGTACGAAATCAAGGAGAAGTGAAAGTTACATTCGTAGATTCGTAGATGACATAAAAAAAGACAAAAAAAATCAAATGAGAGAAAGTGATCTTCATCAATGATCCTTGGCTACTTTCCGTGACGGAAAAAGACATTCTGTTATAATAAGATGGAAACTTACCTCTCTGGGAGAGAGGATGAATCACCCTTCAGAAATTCAGGGGATCGAATTAGTTCATCCAGGCGGGTGACAATATCAGAAAAATTGGGCCGTTTGGTTTTGTCTTTATGCCAGCATTCGATCATTAAACTATGAATGATTTTCGGACATCCCTGTTCAAACAGAAAAGTTATATAAGGGTGAATTTTAAATAGAAATAATTTATAAATTTGAAATATTTTAAAACCTCCTAAAGAGTTTTCACCTAAATTCTTAAAGTGATTGTATTTTCAATTGGGGAGTGGGGATCGTCTCTGAAAGTGTTTAAAGAACGGACCATAGCATATTGAATGCCAATGAGGGGGTTCATTAGCATCCTACCGATCGTTATAGGAGGTTCAGGTAAATATTATTTTGACATAACCAAAAAATGGTCCTAACGACGACAAAGCTCAAAACAACTTTCCTAAAGTATTACAAATAAGCGTTCAAGTAATGTTTTTATTTCTGGATTTTTAAATCTTGGTCATAAGTGATGCAACTTTTTCTAATTGTTCTGGCTTGCTGTGGTGTTCCACCACCACGACACCCCGGTTTAAGAACAAGACATCAACAGCAGAAACGCAAAGGAAAAGTCATTCAGCAGTCACATGTTTGTTATTGCAAGATTTACCTGTGGAGGTGGTAATCTGTATCCAGCTTCCACTCGCCTGATAACCTTGGGAAAAATTATAAAAAGTTTTAATTAATAAGTTTTAATTTACAAATTTATATTGCTAATTCATTCATAAATTCATAAAGAAAAACCTTCGATCATGATTTCTTCAACTTAATTATTTAGAAAAAATAAAATAATTTAAGAAATAAGTCGGTGAGGCTCAGGAAATGTTAATACCAGATGGGCGTAATAGTTGCCCCTTTACAATAATAAACCCCAGCTTTGAAAGAAACTTTTCATTTAAAACTTCTAGGAAAAGAGACAAGTTGAAATTCTCGTAAATGAAAGCTTGCTGCTGTTATGAACCGATTATCGCTCTTTTCTACGGAGTTAATGATAATGTTCGTTATCACGCGGTATCACTTACATCGAAGTTGTCCCAATTCCAGTAAGGTCTGTCACAATATGACGTGATCTCCCACATTAGAATGCCAAAGCTCCAAACATCACTAGCTGAACTGAAGGTCCGATGCTGAAGCGCTTCTGGGGCTGTCCAACGAACTGGAATCTTACCCCCCTTCAGAGTAATTGAAACAAAGGCATACATTTGAAAGGATGCAGGTCACATGTTTTCTTCGCTAAAAATCTATACCATCGCTTAGTACTAGCCTCTACTAATGGGTGTTGGAAAAGGTACTTAAAGATCAGAAGGAGACTTAATTAATGGGAACAAACCGGTACTTCACGTTGTTCGTCACTTCCTCTGAAATCGCACCTAGCCTTCAGATGAACTTCCAAAACATGGTCAAACAAAGGCGGCCGCGAAATCTCGAATGGAACGGTCTATATACAACCACTTCTGTCTCTCGTGACGGATTGAAATTTGGCTGGGTAGGTGAGAGAGTCACAACGTACCCGTAAATGTGAAAAATCAAATATGAAAAATTTTTATTACAATGGTACTTTAAGGTACTTTTCCATTTAAGTCAGAATTCTGAGGAAGTCTTTCATTTGAACAGAAAGCAAACAAGAATGAGCATGCTTCAGTGGGTGGCATGCATCACTCAAAAGAAAGGTAAGGCTGTGAAATAGGAAACACGTGGTCTTTACTGTCAATCTGACACAATTGCGTCAGATTACTCGCAAATATCAGCGCGCAACGTAACGTCATTGTCGATTTTCAAAAAGTCAAAATTTACCTGTGTCGTGTATTCAGCTTGTGCCTCATCGTCCTCCGCCAGTTCTCTTGAAAGACCAAAATCTGATACTTTACACAACATGTTTTCACCCACAAGAACGTTGCGAGCGGCCAGATCCTAAGTAAAGACAAACATAATTATAACTTCTTGGTACTCAATCAGTTGTAAATATACGCGTAACAACCAAATTCAGAGCATCAATGCAGAATAAGTTCAAATGCGTTTAGATTCTGAAGAACAACACCCTTCTTTACGTTAAATTCGTCACTTTTATATGGAGACTATCGCCCTAAAACTGAAGCTGACTAGGAATCCTGGGAAGAACGAAGAACGCTGACCTCACACTTTGGGGCAACTGATGTCTCGTGAGAATTATATTTTCTCTCCTCTGATACGAAAGTTTCATTCTCCAGGTTTTATGTTTTTCCTAGCTCCAAATAAATCAACTGAATCCAAATTCCAAACCTACCTAAGATCCAAATTAACGAACTATAAAATGAAATATATAAAGATACATATATACCCGATGAATGAAGTTTAATTCTGACAGGTACTTCATCCCGTGAGCCACGCCTCTGGCCATTCCAATCAACTGAAGGCTCGTCAGCTGACCCTGTCGGTCCTATGAGAAAACATGAAAAACCGGTACCGTTTAACCCTTTGTCTTCTAAGAGGACGGGGATCTAACCTCTCCTTACAGAATTACTGCTGTATCAAACATTAAAGACGCTCTTGATTGTTAAACAAATTCTCCTTGTTAGTGGCATTGGAAAATGTAACAGGAGCAGTGTAGACAAGATGCATACAGATGTGAGGGTGTAAAGGGTGTAGGTAAAGTGCATAATCGACACAACTTTTAAAACACTTGATTAGGTTTGAGTAGTTGTTTTTGGTTGTTGTTGTTGTTGTTGTTGTTGTTCTTAGCAGGAGAATATTCTTAAACCCTCGCCAGGCGAGATTAAGTACCAACTCGTTATTCTTGTCTATTGCTAACGAAACGTAACCAAGCATACAGAAAACTAGATGTAAGTATGGAACCTTTAAAAAGTGATCCAGTGATCCACTTTCCAGAAATTCCGTTAGGATCATCATTGGTCTACCTGAAAACATGGAAATCAATCAACTTTAAATCTCGTATCATTATAGATAACAGTATGTTATTTCTGACACAAAGTAGCATCATAATTTCACCGTCGAGTCTTTAATACAGATTATTCGGTTCTCTTCTTACTTCGTGTCACCACTCCGATGAGGCGGATAACATTTGGGTGATCAAATTGGCCCATTAAGGACGCCTCGGAAAGAAAATCTTTCTGATTTTTCTCGCTGGAACCAGGCTGAAATGGAGAAAAAGGAACATTTCAACGAAATAGTGCATTTATCTTAGCAACATTAACATTCTTTTACGTAATGGATTTATGAATCTCGCCATCAGTGATGGGATAAGAAACAAGTACGAAATAGCGAACGCAAAGCTTCACGTACTAGCAAAAAATAAGTAGAGTTAGTCTGACTAAATGATTTAAGCTACACTGTATGATCTACATCTTATCAGAGCAATGCATGACGGGACTGACCCTCAAGACTTTGACAGCAACCACTCCTTTGCCTTCGCGAGACTTTAATATTCCTTTGTACACATCCGCAAACTCCCCTAGAGAAGAAAACACCTTAGATAACGAATAGTTATCTGACGAATATTTGTATGACAGCTGTACAAAAGCTGAATATGATAACCTGTAGGTATCAATATATGCTAAAATCAAAATATCATCTCAGCATCTGTGCAACTGTGAACCTACCCCTTCCCTGACTCAACAACAATCAACTCATAACAAATAAAAGTTAGAGCTGAGTTAAGGGAATGGTAGGTGCTCAGTTGGTTAGATCCTGACATTGATCCAAGTAAAACATCTACCTTGTCCGATAACTCCGTCGAGTTTAATGTCACTTCTTTTTAGTTCAGTCGTGAATGATGTCAGAAGTTCTTGAACGTCGATGTAGTCGTTAGGATCGATGTAAGTTCGCTTGTCTTGAGGATTCGTGGTTTGTAGCTCATTTCCTAAAGATGGAAAGTTTCAGGAAATAATAACTTACATCACTCCTTTAAAACTAGCATCTCAATTACGGTGTGTAATCAAAGGAAGTAATGTCTTTTCTATCTACGAATGGCCAATATTGGATAAATACGTAATTGATTTGCTTTAAGTGCAATATGTTATGATTTGGTAACAGCACAGTTCCATTTGTATAAGTGGCTTCGATAGACTAGTAGCGAAAGAGAAGAGAGCAGAAAATTAGTCAGGTGATTATAAACATACATTGACGCTGATTGGTCGAGCGTTAAGCAAATCACTAGAAAATGCAGAAACTCTGTCAATCACTTGAGCAATATTCTTAAAATTATCGTTTTCAGAAAAGAGCAGAAACACTTAACGAGAAGATTATCATTGGAGACATTTAATCACAGCGATTGTTTTAGTTGTGATATTGTAATTCTACAAGTCGTTCAAATCTGATCCGGGCAATGAGACAAGTCCATTATTTTATTTCGTTTTGTTCACTACCGCACACTTTACTCGCTGTCTATTACGTGATAGATAGTGAGTAACGAAGCCAATTGGATCGCAGATTTTGAGGTACAATGCTAGCTGTACTGATATCCAATAGTCTTACCTTGCTGAAGGGCTTGCATATAGGCTTCCTCTACGCTCTTTTTACTTCTCCTAGTTAAACACAAATAAATATATACATCACATCATACCTCAGATAAAGACGATGAGTTTCGCTCCAATTTAAATTAAATCAGGACCTGATCTTAGGGCAACATTAAAACCGCCTCATTTTTTGCAAAATACTCACCTTCTATGAGACACGACGCAGACAACAATGACTACTATCAGTATAATAAGCAGCAGTGCTCCTCCTCCCCCAGCTATGTAAACAATAAGCTGTATTTTCTTCGAGTTATCTGTAACCATTAATCACGACAAAAATTATTTAACATTTCAATCATAAACAGCCAGAGCAAACAAAAGCTAATTATTTTCAATCAGGCAAAATTAGCTTGAATTTATCATTAGGTTTGCAAAAAACACAATTTCTTATTTTCTTTATCATTATCCTATCAAGGTACTTCGCCCATATTTTTGTCATTAGTTCTTTCATCTATTAATATTATTATTAATATTATTGTTTTCCTTCATTCTGGCCTAAGGGAGCCACTTCACGGATTACACCCTCACAACAACAAAAAAATTCAATATAAGAGACTTATCTTTAAAATTTGTCAATTACAAGCTGTGGTAATCTTCTCCTTTCACCTTGATTGGGTGTCTGTATTAGCGATATCTTTATAATCTTTCCTGTCTGTTTAACTGTAAAAAGCCTCAAGACGAAGCTATCATAAATCTAGGTTCTAGTCGTCTGTAAATAGATCTCGTTGTTGTCATCATAGCCCAGCGTATGAACTTAAAACTTGAAAGAACTTAAAATTTCCTTTCTAGCTATTTTATTTTCCCCTTAAGTTACGGGAATAGTTTGAAAGAAAATGTGAAACTGAGATACATTAGCTGATAGTTCAATAATACCAATCTTATAGCAGATTGACTTGACAGCGTTGAACACCCTAACCTTTTCTCAGCGTGTACGTCTTGATCCCAGCAGGGCCCCTTCCGATGTCGTTTATAGCAAATACCTGGGGAAGTAAAAGTAAAACTTTCATCTAAAAGGTTTCTTCGTCAAGAGCATAAGAAGCCACGTCGACTGACGCTTAAGCTAATTCAAACTTTGGAGAAAGCTCTACCTACCTGAAATTCATAAGATTTTCCCGCCTTCAAATCAAACTGCGCTTCCATTTTCTTAGTGATGAGAGTCTTGGTTTCAGACGAATCATCCTCATTTACATAAGTCACATAATACTCTTTGATGATGCCGTTCTTTTCCTTTAGAGTCCAAGATACAATCACCGTCTCTTCCGGTTGTTCAACAGACACTTCCGGTTTACCTGGAACTAGTTTGTTAAACAGAAATGAATAAGCCATCATAAAGCTCGACAGTATAATCAACTCTGATATAGCTCGCAATCTCTACGTCGACACAATAAACTTCGAAAGAGATTGCACCTGTTTCACCGAAGTTTCTTAATCTTCCTATAGGAAAGGGAGAAACTGTGTTGTCCCAAAATTACGCATGGCCGGAAGAGAAACTATAATGCAAAGTGTACTTTTGGTTAACAATTGCGCCATAAAAGTCGTTGCCCATCTTGGATATGAGTTTTCAACTTGATTAAAAAAATTACACATTTTGCAAAAAAAAAGTTTTTGCAAGACTATTTGTAGAACGGCATGTTTAAAATCGGTTGTCATGGAAACGATAATTGACACAAACATCATTTTAACCATGGAAGATGTTTGGACATAATTGGTCAAACTACATAAGTCACTTAAGGTACTAAAATAGCAAGACAGTGGAATAACCTTAATCTGCATGTAGAATCATATCTTATTCAGTTCTGCTTCAGAGTTATTACATCCTCTATCATTTATAATTTATATATTTCAAAATTAAATTGAAAATACGATTTACTGTAAGTGCTACTAAAACATAAACAAATCTTGTTTTTCACTTCACTGATTTTGACTAAGTTCTTTGCAAAAGTTACAGGAAAACAGCCGTAAGATATAAAGTTCCACCAGACTCTTATTTTTGAAAAATGAGCAGTCAGATAAGAGTTTGCAGACTGACTTACGTGATCCGTTGGTCCTTATGGTAATTGCCGCGAAGTTCGCCTGGATTCCATGTTTCATTTTCGCCACACTGCTCACTCGATTCCTACCATACACTTTAATGGTGTAGTTTACAAATGAGGTAAGGTTTCCAACAGTAATGTGAGTAATGTTCACGCCATCCCTTCTCGGTTTAAAAATGACATCACTCCCGCAAGCTTTATCAACGCACTCGCTTTCGTCTTCCCTTTCACAGGGTCGACGGCATTCAACTTCATAAAATATGTTTGTCTGATCACCGGTGACTGCAGGACGCTGCCATTGTATCTCCAGCGCGCTTTGGTTGACGAAGATAACTTGGACATTTTGCGGGGCTGACGGTATAGCTAAATGCAAACGCATCTATTAGAAGATAATTATTAAAAAAAACTGATTTTGAAAGAGATGGTCATTCATTGATGAAAGTGTAATTTTTAATATATGTCCTGTAGAGCTCCTCCTGTACAAAGCTACTAAGCCATGAATTAGACCAGGTCCTGACCACAGCAGTTTTATATCAAAGGTTGTAATACATCAAATACTTTCGCATAAACGCAACAGACTATGTTCCAGCTTAAACTCGAAAATATCTTGTGATTTATCTGGGGATATATCCTAATTCTCCAATCTACTTGCAATGTGATGAACCTCCTCTTAAAAATTAGTTTAAATGGAGAAGCGTTTTTCCATTGTTACAGAAGTGGGGAAAAATGTTTTAATTCGAATTGAAGGGTACACCCCACGGATTAATTAATTCCGCGCGTTGTAATATTTGTGAGATTGTAAACCCAACAGCTTCCATTTTTCTTCAAAGTACGCTCGTATATTTGTGCTTTCACGTTATCTGTTCCGACACTTACAGTTTTCCTCCAGCTTTACTAAAGGGAAACTAAAGAATTGATACAAGTTCAAGATATGCACGGGAAAGGGGGAATAGAAGGGAAATGTTTCTCGAGGACGTTAGACGTTATCATAAGTGAAAAAGAACTATGAGATGTCCACGGCTAAACCGATTCTGGTTAACAAATATACATCATTGAAAGTACTAAAAGAATGTTCTCAGTATGTATCGAACAAGAGGCAAACGAAAACCAGGGCTATAGCAACCGGTAATACTTTCTCCCTTACCTGTGCAATTAAAGCCATTTTGATCATTGTATTTACCTTCCGGACACTCTGAAGAAGGAAAGCAAAAAGATATCTTGAGGTGATTGAAAAGTGGCGTCAATCCTCGCGAAAGACAAACGTTATTAGGAGTTTCACCGGTAGTTGTACGTTTTCTATAGGCACCTAATTCACACCATAATTTGCCTCTCAAAAGGCAAAGACCAGAAGCGCCGAGGGATTGTATGTGCTTATCCTGACATTAAACATAATTTTTTTATTCGAACTCCGTTCAATCCAGATACTAAGTTAAATTAATCGGGTAAGTCGTTTTTGAGCGACATGCAAAATTATCTCAAGCAAGGGAAGAGACCAAAAAAGGTTACTGACTGGCTCACATTGCGATTTATGCGTGGGCATAAACAAGTATAAAAACTTAATCAGGGCCACAAGCATGACCACAAGTATAAAACAGGAAATAAAAAATTTTACATTATTTGGAGTTATGCGTGTGTTACTTATACTTATTTAACATTGTTAAGTTGCCCTAAGAAAAAAGCGGATCACTGTCCGTGCCTGACGTAGACACTTAGAGAACGTGTTTGCCAGTCCGCTTATTAAAGGCATTGTACTATCAGTACAGTCCATTTTGTAGGAAAAAACTCACAATGTTATCTTTATTTATCATATCACCTATACCTTTACAGTCTCCTCCTGCATTTTCCATGTCTTCCTGGCATATACAATTTCCTTTAAGTGAACTCATATTCCAGATCCCATCACTTTGGCAGTTCACCCTTAAAATACCTTGGTCGTGGACGGCATTTTTAATACATTTACTTAAAACTGGCACTGAGTTGTTTGCTGGAGCCGTTGTACGTGGTAAGTACACCAAACCACCAACATGAACTGTCTCTGGGCAGAAGTAATATTTAACAGCGACGGAGTAAAGGACAGTACAAGAACCCTGGTCATGAAAAGCCAATACGATGTACTTTCCTTTAACAGTTACTCTAAACGTTTGAGACACTCTGATGCCAAGAGCTGACGGAGCTGTTCTAGCAATCTTGTCATAAGAAGCATTGTCTGTTAGAGGGTGGGGTTCTGTTGGTTGCGCAGACTGATGCACGTATAAGTCGAAATACTCTTTGCAATATTTTCCTCCATTGTCAGAATAGGACGAACAGTTATTAGTTAGGTACTCAATAGTAATGTCGACTACTTTCACTCCACTGTGGATCCCTATAGGTTTACTTCGAAGCCAGTTGTTTGGTTGTGGGTGTCCATTCAGAGAAATATCACAGGTTTGGTAATGTGTCGGCTTCACCCACTATTAATCAGTTGAAATAATATATTAGGAGGTTATTAGGTTCTATCCATTAAAAAAGAGCTGTTTTCGATTGTAACCGAGGAACACTGGATTTCATTCATTATAGCACTGTGTTTTGGTGGTTTTAATTGAGAACATCCATGTTTTAACTTCCAGCTTCAGTGCTTGAAGTAGACCTATGACTAAACGAGAGGTTAAAACCATGTGAAAGGGGACAACCTTTCTCGGGAAAATTCTGCAGCTAGCATTCCTTATTGAAAATTTTCAGCTCAAAAAGATAATTTTGATTGGAAGGGGAAAATACGAAAGTAAAGAAAATGTTGTGATAGATCGCGTCATTTTCTTAGGATCTTCTCAAGCTTCATTTCAGTATTTATTTAAAGGAAAAGTATGCTTAAGAACCATGTAAAATTCACGTCCACTGTGAAATAATACATACAAAAATATTTAAAGAGTATTGAAGAATATGAACTAAACTCAGATGACTAAACAACAGTTAAAAGATAGAATCATACCCCGGCCGGCCCACCGGATACACCAAGTGGCCTTAATGCATCCCAGATCCAGCTCTTACTTGATGTTGGCTGTTTCTCTAAAATCACTACAGAGAAATGTGTTGAAAGGTTATTAATAAAGTTGAGTAAATTTGACAGCTTTTCTGATCTGACAAACATTAACCGTAAGAATGGACTAATTTTTAATCATAAGTCGTAAAGAAAGTTTCGCGTAAAACTTTTTAATTTAACCATAACGGAAAAAATCAACCGTTGGCCGTAAAATGGCCAAAATTTTTATCGTCAGCCGTGAAATCCATCACTTCAATAAAACCCTCTTCATTGATCCCACATACCTTGATCAGAGGATGAAAGGGTCACAAAAAGTAGAAGAATTGAAAATGCGACCAAAAAGTGATCCATACAGCATATGATGAACGTTGACCTGTTGTTGAATCAAGAGATCAAATACATTATCCCTATATATGAAAAAGGCAAAACAACTTCAAGGAAGCAGCTTGTTTCATACCCCACCCCACCCCACCCCCCTCCCCTTATTACAGGATGATGGAACTTTGAAAATAAGCCATAATGTTACTCTAAAAATTGAAAAAAAATGATCGCTGCAAGCACTGGGTACATGTAAGAGATTTAGCTGAAAGGATTACATCGCTGTGTGCCATTGTAGGATGTTTGATACGTAATGAACAACTGCTTATAAAGTATTACAATTATGTACAGCGCATTTCAGATTGATCTAAATTATACGAAAGATTATTCGAAAAGTGATGATAAAGTGAAAAACTTTCGTCTGATAAATGCAAATTTACTGCATCGGGTTGCTTACTGTTAGAATCATGTTAGCATCATGGAAGTGCCCTACTGACATACATGATGCTTTTCAAAGCAGGTACCCATAACAAAACTCGACTGTCGCCTTAACGTTGCCCGATTACGTGTCATAAAACTAAGGCGAGAACTGTTGGTTACAACCGAATTATGTCATCGTCAGAGTAACAAAGTCGATCAGTCTTAATTAATTATATTATGTTCCCTGACTGTCTCTTAATCAAAATGAGCCTCGATTTCTCTAAAAATGTCTCAGTTGACATAAGTTTAAAATCTGGCTTGTTTGCATATCCGCTGCATTAGAATATCTTTTACTATTAAAGTTAAAGTTAGTTAAGGACAAGTCTTGGCTAAGCAGTCAGAGATATGCCCTACAATGCCCTGCCTTCATTGTCAGTTTGACCTAGCAACATATAGGTCAGAGTGAAACTGACTCTATAAAACTGAAAGACCTCTCACTTCAATTTCATTCTTCCACGGTAATTTTAACGAAAAAAAGGAAAATGACAATGGAAGGTGCTTAAGCTGTATCGTTTCTAGTAATGGTATTATAGAAAGAATTTCAGTTTTAAATATAAAATGACGGGTCACGGAAAATAAAGCAGCCAGGACAATTTGACAAATGAAAATTGTGATCCAGATGTGGTTTCATGAAACGGCTACCTGGTGGTGTGACAAACATTTATGTTGCTTTCTCAATTAAGTCACTCATTAACATGCTTCTGTCCAAGCTTTTTGCCATTTTTTTCTCCGCCGTATGCAAGAGCAACCGGGTGCATTTTCAATTTCTTTCCATAAACAAGTGGTCAGTGAGAACCCTTCATGTTTATTATCTACATGTGCATACTTAGACTGACCTGTCCTTAACGTCGAAGTCTGAATGAATATGCATCAGTAAATACCTACTCTGGTCCGAACTCAGTTCACAAAAGTCAGGAATGCACTAGTAATGGCGATACCTTTAATCAATCAAAACCTTACGGCAACAGCTATCGGTTAATGAGGCAATCCAAATACTGTCAAAAGCCAACAAAGTTTTCAAATATTTTGCACCAGACAGATCGACTTCCTCACGAGAGAATGTTCTCAGCGTTCGGCGTTGTTCCCTTAAAGGAACGATGTTTTCTCTGTCGCCTTCGCTGATTCAAATTTAGAAAACGTCAAAGAGTATGTATTAAGATTATAAACGACGAATAAATAGAAACAGGGTTCTTTAAAGAAGCGATCATAAAACTTTAAACGAGCAAACAATGATATAAACCACTCGCTTGACTCAATTAACTATCGTTGTGTTGTTAAAGAATAACCTAATGTTCTCTAACAGAGAGTACACTTACCAGCTGCCAGTAATTGACTGATTGTTCCGAGTTGATAGGAGTTTGATGGATGATCGAAAAGAATTTACCATTACAACAGGTTGAGGACAAAATGGCGTAATAGCAATTAGACTTCCGCGGTAGTTTTCCAGCGACTAAAGGTCGTGTGCATCAATGTTTGCTAAAGTGCGATTAAAATAATATATGCAGTTGATTTCACAGACGGAATGGACACGAAGCAAAACGCTGATTGTCTATCTTTCCTGTTGTCTTTATCAGCAAACTAAATCCATGTGTTCTTCGTAGCTAATATTCTTGATAACTAATGTTTCTCAGCGGTTTTCAGAAACTAATATCAATTCGTGTGACTTCCCAATTCAACCGTGACATGATTTGGTAATAATTTACATACTTCCAAAATAGTTGCATCACATTACATTTAACGCGCTTTAAAATTACTTATTAAGTAAAGGTCAACAAAAGAAATTTCCTGGTTCAGTTGTCAGACCTAGAGAATTAATTCTGAATTCAAAGCTTTTATTGTTGTGGTTACCTCGAGAAGGCCAGCACTGCAGGCAACAGGTAATTAAAAGTAGTAGGAGAAGTAAGAAGTTGAATGTCAATATTTTATGAAAACGTTTTAACTATTTTTGTTTTGATAAAGACGTAAGGCTTGAGAAAACATTTTTCTTCGCAAAAATCCACAAATGTCTAATAATAAAATGGTTTGAAAACGGACGTTATGTTCACAATGCACTTTGCCGTAGGGGGTCCGGATAAATGATCAGCGGCTAATATCAAATGATATAAATACCATTGACATCAGTAGAGGCTATAAAACCTCAATCACTGATTAACATAACTCATCTATAGATTCTCGCCGGTTACAAACTTCTCTGAACTACTTGACAAGAAGCAAGGATTCCTATCACAATAAAACTCTCTAATAGAAACATACTTTATACCTACTGGACCCCAAGGCATGCCATCCTGCTACTGTTGAGGGGTGTCATTCCACTTCCCTTTTCAGCCACAATATCATGGAATGCAGTTCAAATAATTTTTTCTAAGTGTTTCCTTTGCGTGGTTTCTTCTAACTTAATCTTGAAGTGACGTAGTTTTGTTATCTGATCTGTTTATCAAATAATTTTTCCTCGGTTGCCAAGGTTCTTGAAATTGTCGTAATTCATCCTATTAAAATGGTGACCTCTGCTACAACTTTGTGTTATTTTTCTTTTTATTTAATATTTTTGTCTTTTTGTTTCAAATTGTTTTTCTTCTTTTTTTCTTTTGGGCGTGTGAAAGGATTAACCAATTTCAGTACATCCAGAGATCGACTAAGGGCGGTCTCCCGCGAGAAGCGCGGTTATTTTTAATTGGCCTCGAGAGACTCGCGCAAGCGATGTGCGCCAAAGAATCGCAACAGAGTAAGGTCAGCCATAGATTTTAGAAAACGTCATAAAAAAGCTTTGGACATTCTCAGCAAAAATGGCTGTTTCACAAGTTACTGTTATTGTAAGGTTGGTCAAAAGTATCTAATGAAGGAAAAATTACTTTTTTAGCAAAGGACACAGAGGTGTCACAGAATATCTGAAAACCGGAAGCTGTAAGTGAATGATATGTCTGACGTTATATCCTTTCGCAGCACTTAAAAGGAACTAAATATGTCACGATAGGTGAGCTTTGAAATTTCTTTAGTCTTCCTTTTCCGCAATCCGTCACAATCCTCTTAATCCACAGTCATCCTTATTCCTTCTTGGTATATCATTGTCCTCTTTGTCTTTTTCTGCATTTCAGAACTAATAACTATCACTTTTTTATTGGTGGAAAGTAGCTATATAGTTTGATGACCCAAGATTTACTAGTAGTGACCTAGATCATTACAGCAAACTCATGTGTAAGTACTCTGTTCATGTTGTCCTTCAGTAGCAGAATTAAAAATATAAAACTGTTCTAATGAGGCCTTAAACTGCTGTTTAAAAAGTAAAATCTAAAATCCAACCTTTCGCCGATCAACGGCATCATCGGGGATGATAAAATATTCCGGACGCGCTATATATATATGCAAAGAAAGTTTAAGGGGAAATGTGTAAAAGATGTGACTCATGTATGAAAGCTATAGAAATAAACTGCAAATGGAACACAAGGCTCTAATGATGGACTGTCTCTTGACAAAGCACCTCTAAAAGCGCTAATATATGTAAGCACTCAGGCAACCCAATAGTTAAATGCGTGACTTGTTAATCGTCTAAAAGCAGCGAGTAAAATTGGCTTCGAGTGAAAATACAATGCTCTTAGCTCTACTGAGAATGGTCTACTCAGTTTTCCTTCCTCTATTTAGTTATCAATGGAAATATTTAAGAACACTTTTGCCCAAACAGCCATTCAAACAGCAAGAATTGAAGTTTCACTATCTCCGCTGCGTGTATTTTCCGTCTGCTCAAAGCATAGAACTGATGTATTTCAGGGGCTTTTTTTCGTTGGACCTATTGTTGCGAGGTATTTTCTCGTCTCAGGATCTGTGCATAATAGTTTCTTAGTGTTTGATTTATCCTTTTATAGCCTGAGTCTATAGTCCAAGGTTTTTCCCAGCTCAGGTCACATAAAAGGTTTCCAAATTTAAGATGTATTGGTTATTTCAGTGAAGTGATTGCATATGAATGTTGGTGAGATAGACTCGGCTGTGGGGACTAACCTTCAAGCACTTGGTAAACCATACAAAATATTCTTGCAGAGATAGAGTTTGAACTAAATGAAAGTTCCAATCGCTGTTTCGTTTTCCTTTCAGTCTAAGTTCTTCCAGCTTGTTATTGGACCTTTTTTTTCACGTGTTCATCATTAGCGATTCATGTAGGTCTGTTTGTATTCGCTTTCTCGAGTTAAGTGATGCAAATATGCCAAGTAACAAAGGTCAATTGGATATCGATGGAAACCTTCAACCTGTTCACTATTCATCTATTTAGTGGTTTTGTGGTATCAGTGGTATCAGTGGCATCAGTGGCATCAGTGGCATTTGCTCTAGTAGTGAGGCCTGAAAAATGAACTCAAGAATTTTGCTTTGATATAAAAGCTTTATATCATGGCTCAATCCTTGGTGCCTACGGTTTAGCTTAGCAGTGCTCAACCAATCTCCCAATGGTGTAGCACCATTTAATGTCTAGAAGCCGAAATATTACAGAATTAAAAGCTAATTGAAGGAAAGGTCTACTTTTCTCGCAAGCTGTAAACGTGCAAATGGCTTTTTAACCTACACCTGTAACTTACACATGTACGTGAGAGCATGCGTATTATTAGAATTCTCAGTAATGCTTTAAAAGGCCGGATGCTAGTTCCAGCTTTCCGCCTCAATATTGTGGTTTTTACGGTGGCAAATTGCGATAAAAACACAACAAGTAATTCGAAGTGGGAAGTTTTCTCTTCAATTCACCACCTCACTCAGCTTTACTTTTTTAACAGATTTTGATGTATTTCCGGCTACCCCTACATTTTGGTTTACACGTTTAGGGTGTTGGTAACCTTGAGTAGAAGTGACAAAATTGCTCCTCAAAACTAAGAAGATTAGTTCAAACGAAACTTAATCGTTGTATTTTACGTTTACCTAGGAGTTCGGCCTTAAAAAGCAATCACTTCAGAGACATAACAGTTTCTGTATGTTACTTAGTTATTATCATAATTGAGAGTTTCATTAGATTACCAGCACATGTACCTTCACCAATAATACTTTTCTCATGATGCAAACATCACCATGAACACATTTAACCTATTTCCGCATTTAATCTTTGACTAATTGGAAGCGTACTCCAAAACGCATGAGTGAATCAAGCGTCATATCTCCATAGAAATAAAAGTGAATCAGGGTTTAATTTTCCCATCCGTGACGTTTAAATATGCGGACGCTGTCGGCCATAAGAAGCCCTTTGTGAGAAACAACATTCCTGATTTGGCCAATCTTTACTGACTTTTACCCTGCAGATGATCATTTTATAACAGACTACGGCACAATACGAAAGGCTTCGTTTCGTTTTTATTTAGAATTTCAAATTATTCAAATCGGTCGACACAGTTAGACCGCGAGATCATAAATGTCATGTTCCGTTTGATAATAGATCGGGTAAATCAGCAATGCTATTGATGATAAAATCCGGTTTACTCTCTGAAATAAACTCTCTACTCTGTGTCCCAGTTAACACTGAGATCGTCCAACAGCCAGCGTTCTTTCCTTCTTCAACATCTACCTTAGTGTCCCCAACTTTGACAACGGATCGTGGATCTTTTACGTTACAAAATTTCATAGCAGAATGGATCATTGCAGGATGAGGCCTTCCATGCCCCGCTTTCTCCGCACTACAAACAAAATCGACCAGGCTGGACCAGTTCAAGGTATGTGTGATAGTTTCAACGACACTATGCGGGAAGCCGCTGCCAACGGCAATCTTGGCCCCTGTGGATTTCAACTTCTGAAAAACTTCAGTCGTTCCTGCGATTTCGTTTTTAATCGATGACAAATTCTGATTCAGAAAGAATTTGAAATCCTCAAATAAACCATCAACGCTGATGTTAGATGAACTGTTGTTTGACCCGTTTAACTCGTGCAGTTCGTTCAAGATACTCTGAATTGCGTCTCTCTTCTCCATTCCACGGTATTTGTTGACTAAGCTTACGTCGATTTTGTCACCATTTTTGTGGAAAGCTTCTTTCATTGCAATAGCCACAAGTGGTACACCCTCAATCGAGTCATCTACAGTTGTGCCTGCGAGATCAAACACGAACAATTTCATGTTTGCCGGTAGGTTCGCTGTTTTAATGCATTCGTCCGCCATTTTTGCCAAGTCATAACTGAGCCAGTGGTAAGCAGCTGGTATGTACAGCGGAAATCAGAGATGGTGGAAAGCTTAAGGGTAAGAAACTACTAAAAACAAACTTGCCATCATGTGTTCTAGAGCAAAGTTTTCCTGACAGTTTTAATATATGTTTGCTCTTTAGATATTGGTACTTCATGGATACAGGTAAATAAGAAAAATGATAATACAGCCAGAGATTTGGAGAGGTTTGAAGTTTATAGCGAAGGTAGAGGTTCAGCTGCGTTTGCAGAAGTGATAAGTATTGTGAACGCTTTTTAGTTTCGCTAAAGTTACATTTTCCGTTAATTTGTAGCACAGAAGTATGAAAATATAATCAGAAGGGTACATAAATGAGCTAAAGTTGTACCTCTATAAGCCCTTCCCCCTCCCGGCCAAATGATCGATGGAGGCCCCATTCTCTGCTAACTCTAGGTGCGTAGTCAACGAGGTTAGAAGTAGGAAACTCGTCATCATTTTTATTTATCCCTTTTTCTATTTTTTCTATATATGTTTTTTTAAGACAGAGTGCCAAGACATGTAAAGAGAAGCTTGGTGCCTTCAGGAAGAACCTTAAGAAACTTCCACTTGAATTTGGTAGGAAATGTTAGCTTGAGGATGTTGTTTTCATAGTCCATCAATTGCATATCAATTATTTAAATTTAAGTTATTTATTTTTAATTTTTTGTCATTTTATCTTCTTGTTCTTACAACAGTGTATATAACTGCACCAAATAAAATCCCAGCTGAAAACAGTAGTGATGTTGCTTCTTCAAAGGAAGGTATTAATATGCATTTGGTTATACATGAAGGGTAGCTAACAATATTGATAAGCCACTTAGTGGCTGCTGGTTGGCTGGCCTTGTCTCAAATTCATTGATCAGTTGATTGACTGACACGTTTTGTTTTTTGATCAACTATTTGATGATTTGCAGATTGATTTATTTCTTGTGGAATTTGCTATGTAGTAGTAGAAACCAATTCCCTGCCCAGCCCCTGTCCATGTGGCTATCCACTTGAGTGTGACCTCTGTGCAGATAATGCAAATAAAATGTGTTGGCTAGAGTTGAAAGTAATTGCGAGTTTGTTCTTATGTCAGCCTTATTTTAAAATTGTCAGGTAAATTGGCCTTTTGTCAAATGTCTCATAGTTCTTTTGTTAACTTGTCTTAAATTTATTACTGTTGTATTGGTTATAGTAATTTATCAGCTCAAGTTTTTGTTCTTTTAATTAGATGAATATGGTTGGTGGTTTTCAGCTGAAGATAACACATATGACCCTCTTAGTCCATCTGATGTCTCTAAAGGTTATGATGAATCAATTGAACTTGTCAAGGCCACCTTTAAAAACCAGGTAATTAATCATGATGCCAAACACTATACAGTAGTAGGAAATGTAATCTCATTGTTCCCCTCTCCTCCCTGTGTCTAATATGTTCTTCTCACATTTGGTTGTTTGGGTGAGAAAGAGACCCCTGGAGACAAGGTTGATTTTTCTCATGAATTTCTCTTGGAAATGAAAAAATTTCATTTACTAATTGTAATTACCTTTCTATATTTTATAATAACTGAGAAGTGTGGATGTCTATTTATTAGTTTTTGTTGAAAGTTTTCCTTCTAAGTATCATATAAAATATGTACAGTAACCAGCGATATTTCTTTAGTATGCAGCAACAAAGTTAGTATTGTTTGTTTTGCCCTTTCCTTATCTGTTAAATTCTCATGTTATCATTTTTTTTTGACATTTAGTATTTATGTTATTTTTCAGGGGCCATTTGATGGTATGTAATCTCATTTTTGAGGAGCACTTGTAATGCTTGTAGGAAACTATCCAACGAGATGCATTAGAGGAGTTTTTTTATTGAAGAAGAGAGAAAAGTACTTTTTAATTATCATGATTAATAATTTCAATCACTTAACTACCATGGTCAAGCCTTTTGTTGTGCATGTAGTTCAAATGGTATAGATACAAAATAAATTTTTACCCAGTGAATAATTATTCATTAAACTATGCAATTGCTATTATAAGAAGCAAACAGCAAAGTAGGGTGATATGTTTGTGAAATATCCTTAAATCTTTTTCTCCATAGACCAAATATGCTTGTTGTCAGGATAGATTATTACCATTTAATAACAGTGATAAACTCTGTCCAACTGATAAATGCTTTTGGTTTTAACAAAGTATCTCATGTTTGATGGTTTTAACTGGTATAAGGGAATTGTAGCAGTTTATTCAGAGGGTAGTGCAGGGGTTTAAAAACAAGCCAGTGACTGCCGAAATTCTACTGGCTACTTGATAACATGTCTAAGTTACCTACTTTTTCTGGAGTTTGACGCCTCCACTTCAAAAAATTTAGAAACCCTAGTAGTGTTAATATTACATCAAAATTATTTAGGGGCAGTCATCACTATTCAACAACCATTTGTAGAACTTTTTATAATCACATATGATAAAGTGGAGAATATTACACAAGCTGGGACTTCTTAAAAGATATTATTTAGCTGCTTATACATGTATGTGATGTTTATCAAATAGGTGTTCTTGGGTTTAGCCAAGGGGCATGTTTCCTTTCGATTCTCTGTGCATTAAGAGAACAAGGTATGTCTGTTTTCTTGACTGTACAAAGTAGATGTAACCCTCTCAGCTATCATGAATTTGTTATTAATATATCATGAAGTTATTATTAACTGCTGTGATCACTGCTCAATCAAGAAAAGGTCCATTTTGTTTACCCTGGGTAATGTTAATTCATCCACTCATTTATTTCTTCTCTTCTTGGATAGTGTCTGAAATAGGCTGGGACCTACAGTGTAATCGATTTTGTCGTTCATTGTGTTTTAGGTTATTTAAGTTTTAAATTTGCCATTCTTGTGGCTGCATTCAAGTCAAGATCTTCAGGACACAGCATATACTACACAGAACCCATCACATGCCCCACCCTGCATGTGTTTGGTGATACAGACAGAGTCATACCTAAGGGTATGTATTCAGCTGGTGGTTACTTTAAAGTGGCACTAAAATTTATTTCCTTTACTTGTACATTTGTACAGGTGTCTTCATTGCATTTGTCATATTTGTTTAGAACCATGAATCTGTATCATGCTTATGGCAGCAATACTTCACTGAACCCCACATCTAAGTTTGGTTGTACTGAAATCAGCCTACAAAACAGTTTGAATTTAAGCTATAAATTACCTCTACCTTCAGTCCTCCATCTATCCCTGCATAGCCCTTCTTTAGTTTTGTGACACTGAGCTAGAGTAAGAAACTAATAGAAACAACATTTCTAAATATAGAAATATTTTGATGAATAGGTAGGCAAATAATCAAGATAATTAGCTTTTTTCTACCCCACCATCCCTGGTCACTTACTAGTCTGGACCAAAAATACACCAGCCCTCTACCTCTCTGTCATTTAAACCTAAATGTAAATAAATTACCTTCCTACATTCTTGGCATGTCCCTACACAGTCATTTCTGAGAGGGATTCCAATATTCTTTACACTTAAGCCTTTGAAAGATAGGGCAACTGATTGGTGTCTTATTTTAAATCAATGAAACAGAAAACAGTGAAGATCTTCTGAAGCATTGTTCTAACCATACCACTCTTAACCACCCTGGAGGTTAGTGTATGTCTATATCTCAATTCCTTTTGACCTGATATGATGACCTAGTGTTGAAAATAATTGGTTTTCACTCTTTAGATATATTTCCACCTTGTAAATGGCTCACTTTTATTTCCTTTTGTATGAAAAGTTGTTATATGGCCAAATTTCAGTCACTGATAGGCATGTCTATTGGGGTTAATTTGGTTTGGTGTCCAATTCTTTCCAAGTCAAATCATTATTTCACATAACAAAGAATCCTGCAGGCAGGCCTTCATTGGCAGTGCTGCAGATCAAACTGGGGACTTTTTCTCGCCCCCTGGAGGGGTGAGAACAAAGAAGTTGTGTTAAGATGATATTGCCAATGTTTTTGGATGCTATATGATCAGACAAATTAGGGATCACACAGGAGAAAGGGAGGAGGCATGGCAATGAAAACAATTTACAGTAGAATAATTTGACCATATTTGGAAATCAGCTCCGCTTCCGGCAGTGGATTCGAACCCGGAAAATTTTACGTTGGAATTTGGACAAATTTGGATGAGATGACTTAATCTGATAGGTACATTCAAAGCGACCGCAGTGCAGTTTAAATGGTATTAGTGACGAACTGATCTTGTTACTTAATTTAGGAAGTCTGCAAGAATTCATGCTTCCTTGTTGAAACAAGAAAATTTTCTGACTTTTTTGCGGTTAAACTGCAAAGCTTGATTGGTAACTTGTTATCCTATCCACATGTCAAAAAAAAATATTTCGTATACAGTGTAACGTATTGTCGGCTATTGAAACGATAGAATCTAGTCGATAGTGTTTTACAATTATGATCGATCTTTTTAAGGTCGCGTGGTTTTTAGAAATCAGCGTCATAACGTGCATGAAATATCTAAAACATTTTTTCTACCTTTTTCTAGGCCATTTCGTCCCAACGCAAGCTCCTCAAAAGAAGGTCTACATAGAGTTTCTAGAGCAGTTCATGAAGAAGACTTAACAAATGTTACATTCTTACCGTAAAATGTGGCCACACCGGGTACCGTCATGTGCTTTCCTCGAACAATTTTTGTGTTCTGCAGCATAGATAAGAAAGGGAAAATTTTGGAATATTTAGTCTGCATAGCTAATGTTTGTCATGATCAGACGCGTTCCCGGAAAATTTTAGTTAAGACTTCCAGGTTAATTCCTGGGGAGTGAGAGGTCAATGTATTCTTTATCGTGGTTTGACCTATTATTTTAAATTCTTTGTTTCTTTAAAGCTCCTGTCAAAGATATTTTAGCTATGCGCGGCGAAGTTGTAAAGGATCCGTTCAATTGTACTTTACTGAGCCTTGACCAAGCGAAAGTAAACGGAGAATTGTTCCTCACAAAAAGAGGGAGAGAAAACACGTCATAAAAGATGTTGATAAACAATAAGTTACCCATGTTATGGACAGTTTATGTTTGTCACATAATAACAATGATAATATAATGGAAATAAAACTTCTCAAACTACATAAAGGGGTTTCAATAACTTTTTCCATAAGCGGCTAGCGATCGGTATAAAAGGCGTTTGTGTAGGGGAAGGTGCTGTATGAATTCGGCGGTAAGAAATCCTATAGGCGGCGATGGACCGTCGGTAACTGGCTAATACTGAAACTCCTTCAATATATATAATGGAACCTTCAACTGTGTGTGTCCTCCTTTTTTAAGGGTCAGACTTTTTTGAAGAGCTCAAAAAGTGCAAACCTAGCCATGAAATTGTCGAAGACTTGTAGCATTTTCTTCTCTGTAAAGATGAGGTTGTCCCTCTCCATTCATTACAGTTAGAAGCGGAAAAGAAATTATAGCCTCGCCTCCATTTCACCCTAGACGGGCGGAGCTACACGTAGGCGACTCAAATTGTATTGAATTGACTTTTTTAAGCGTCTTAAATTTCGATGTGGGTGGAGAGTCTAAAACTCAAGCATTGGTGCATTTTTTCAGTTTTCAATGTTCTTTAATGGTACATTTGTCTCACAGGTTTTCTGTGGTTGTCTTCAAACGGCAAAAGAAAATAAAATCCTTCGGCGGGAGGGACTGAGATCTGCACGCGAGGAGGTTGGCCAAGTATAGGTCAGTGTAGCTTATTCGAAGAGGTCATTGGACGGAAGTCCAATTTCCCTGTCAGCGGAGTTCTTCATAAACGTAGTAGATCTCGTGTTCTTTCATTTTTCTTTCAAACTTGTGAAATTTGTTGAAATAATTACTGGAAAATTACGACAACTCTCGTTCTCCTATGGAATATTTAAAGAGCCCAGGTATCCGTGTTCCAGGAGGTGGAGATAAGGTTTTCAAAGATGAATGTGTGTACTGCTTCGACTCGCCGGTATGTATTGCAAATATGTAGATGTGGTCCTAAAAAAAAAATGCACGTAGGGTTTATTGAAGTGTGTTTTAATTCAAAAACTCTTCTTTGCAGTGTTTAATAACCAAGAAAACTTTCAGACGTACAAATTACGTCGTTTTTCCCTTCTTGACGTGTATCATGATTAAGCCTCGTTTTACTCCAATTTCTATCTTTTTTTAATTTTCCTGTCGCTTGTTCTATGAGAAAGAGTGAAATTATATATGAAATTGTATTGAGTATACCTTTTTAGCCTTAAAACAGGAAATAGTATGGGGCTGTGCGGAAATTTTACCCCTCTTTGTTTTTTCATTAGTTGGTGGTAATTGCTATAACATTAACTTTAAATATATGCTGTAACATTGTCATCAATTATCGAAGCTGACAAGAGCTCTAAAAGTGTCACCATTCCATTTGAACAAAATTAGGAAGTTGACTTTCCAATATTGTCCATCCTCTCTGTGCATGAATGTCCCTTAGATTGAATATACTACATTTCATTTCTAAACTGATCATTATGTTACTCTTGGCAAAAATGCAGCATGCAAATGATTGCTCCACAATTAAAAAAAATAAGTCTGGTTTTGATGGCAACAAGTTTGAAATTTGACACCCATTGATTATCAGATCATGTTCCAGTTATTTCTAATTTGCTTTTTTTGAGTGTGAGCTCAACCTATTCTATTGAAATAAAAATTTCTGTGCTGCACACTAATAAACTAACTCTTTAACTCCCAAGATCTGATTGTTAATTCTCCCCTCTAGCTGCTACATATTTCCCTGTTACTTAGTAATGTGAATTTGCTGTTAGATCAAGACAACAACCTCTAGCTGATAAGTTTGAGTATTCGAATTATCTCTTTGCTGGATAAGGTATGGATATAGGGAAAAGTTACATGTTCATTACTTCTGGAAGTTAAAAGGTCAAGCTACAAGGTTTAGACAAAAAAAAAATTAGACTTGAAAGTCTTTTAGGTTACTCTCCATCTCTTTTTCTCTATCCAATTCTTTCAGTGCAATTGAACATAACTTCCAGTGGTAAAGAAAGAGATTTGAAAAAGATTATGGTGAATCAAAATGATGTTTGAGCTTTAAGAAATCACACTTATTAAGTAAAATGTTTACTTACCTTATCTTGTGAATTTTTATTTTATAGGAAAGTGATGGAGGACTCTATGTTTGTCTTTCTACATTTCTTGGTTTTTGTGAGGAACATGTTCATCTTCATATCAGTAAGACCTCTCACAAGGTTTTCTTGCATTTGAAGAAAGTTAAGAAGGTAACTATATTTCATAGCATGAATAATGATTAATAAATAAGTCAGTTTGAAAACAGAGTATTACATGAAATCTTATTCAGGCAATATTAGACACCCACAAGATGGCTTTCTTGTTCAGTTTCCTTGTTGAATTGGAATTTGGAAGGTTTTTTTGTGTAATGAGGAAAACCAGAAAACTCAGAGAAGACCCTTTTAGCATTACTGCTTTAATTAAGTGAGAAATAGCTATTTTGATGAATGAATTCCATTGGAAAATGGTAAATCATTTATATATTTTGAAAACAAAGTCACATTGGTAAAGGCATATTGGGAAGATCGGTTTGAATGGTGATTGCAACAAACAAGTTTGCTTGTCATTGGTTAAGCTGTGTAGTATTTTAGTGCTACTACATTGTGGCCTGTTCTTTAAAACAATAAACTGCCAACAATAGAAAAACAAAAGGACTGCCTCATACATACTAATGAGGCCAATGTCTCAAGGTCATGCGCACACTTGCAATTTTTTGATATGTGTAATTTTTATTATTCATAATTGCATGCAATTTTTGGTGCGTTAAATTCGGGTTTTTCGGTTAGCGTATACATGAGTGGTACTGTAGTACATCTCTTTTAAGATGTATCTGAGTACCCACAGCATTTTTATCAAAGAGATATTTTCAAAAAGACTGAAGGATTTTTTTTTTAATCTTTGGGTAAACTTTAGACATTTCATGACTGTTCTGCAGATCAGCTCTTTTTTTGGGAACAGTTTCAATGTTTTTTATGATGATGATATTTGTGTTCCTCTGTCTAGACCTCATTATGAAAATCATAATCTCAAACAGGGGAAAGGAAGATAAAACAAAGTAAAAAATTCAAATGGACATTTACGGTACTCCACATTGTTATTTCAGTGTGCATAAATTTAGCAGTCAAGAAAAGGAAATTTTTTAAGGAAGAATTCCCAGTAATTGTTTATGATCATTCATTATATGGTTACTATTTGTCTCTGTTTCCTCCAAAAGGTTCAGATTGAAACAGATAGCTCTACAGATACTCCACCAAAGAAAAAACCTACAAGACTGGCAATTGGTGAGTTGCGTTTTAAATTTCCTAACTTTTTAACATCATTATGTGGTATTTGCTGCACCTCATCAGATTAATTTCCATTTTATAATATTTGCACACTGGTCCAGTGTCAAACTTAAAAGTTTAACATGTAAATTCAAGAAAAACTTCATGTCATTGATAATACCCCACCAATAAAGGGGCCTTTATATATGTCAGCCCAACTGAAGATTTAACTGGTACATGATGTTACTTGAAAGTTAGAAACTCCTTGTTTTCCCTGTGGTAGGCGTTGAAGGAGGATTTGATGTGGAAAAGACAAAGGTACTTGATACAAAATGCATGGACATAACAGGAAAGAAATTGTGTGCACTGTAAGTACCTTATAAATGCTTAGAAAACTTTTCTAAGGATTTATGAGGGAAAATGGGAGGTACTCACAATGTGGGCAGTTTCTGTCCTGTCATATACGTGTATTATGTAACATTGAGAGCATGATGGCCAAAAGTACTTGTACATTTCCAAACAATAACATGCTCTTTACTATACCTCCAAACAAAACAAAATAAACTGAGGAATTGGAGCGAAGTAAAAATTGAAGCAGTTGCTAAAAGAAAATTACAAATAATAAGTTACTACAATTATACTCAAAGACATTGACAAATGCAAATACAAAATAACAGACGACAAAGACACTCTGAGAAATAATATAACAGAATATTGATGAAAGCGATGCATATGACAACAAGAGAAAATGCAACAGAAAGGAAAATTTGGATTTATAATGAACAACAACAGTATAATTTTTGGCAGCAAGAGAGAGTGATATCAAGGAATTTTTCCACAGTGTACTTCTGGCATTGTGCATGGACCATGCAGCAGTTTATAAATTTATCCTTTGTTAGAGAGAATGATTCTGAAAGCTTGAGGTTTCAGTTTTCTGTTTATTAATTTTGCCACACACATATACACTTACAAGAAAATGAGATATTCAAGTTGTTTGACTTAGAGAGGTATGTATTTTTTCTATTGCATTATTTTAACAATGATGAACATTTAATTAAATTTTTTTAACTCATGATAAAGAAACTTTCAGGTCTGGATTTCTGTAATCTATTGACAAGTGACAAAAAGATGTATTAACTTAAAGGTAAATATCAATGTCGTTTGTTACTAATAAATGTTTATTTATTTATACAGGTGGAATATGATGAGTTCAATTCAGTCTCAGTGTTGGGGACTGGGGGAGATCCTCTTGTCATTCCTCTTCCAAATGTTGAGATTCCACTCCAGGTACTATGCTTAAATTTACTAGGTATAGTGGAAATTACAGATTGATTCATCTGACATTCTTGATTAAAGAGGGAAAGAGGCAAGGCCAAGAATGGAAACCATTCATTTATGAAACTAATTTCTAGTTCTTGATTATAATCATGATCATGTGTAGTAGTACAATGCAATGATTTCCATTATCTGTAAGTATCATTATTAATTAAAGTTACAACATAGATCCAAACAGTATCATGTTGTACATCTAGCTGCTATGATGTTAAGCCTAATTTACTCCCGAGATCTGATTGTTAATTCTCCTCTGTGGCTGCTACACATTTCCTTGTGAACTAGCTACAAGAATTTGATGTTAGATCAAGATAATAACCTCTACCTCTGATAAGTTTGAGTATTCTCATTATCTGATTGCTGGATAATGTACTGATAATTTATTATATAAAGAAATTACATGTAAATCAATTGAGGGAGTTATAGGTTTAATTCAGTTTTCTCTTTTTTGACACAAATCATTTAGACCTCTTTTAAAATTAGTTTCCTTAGGATCGAACTAAAGTCAAGATTTTATTTATTATTTGAAGCACTTGTTAGAAAAAAAACACAATATCACTCATTAATTTTCTTTATTATTATTATTTGCATAGCTTCAGTTAGCCATAGCAGGAGTTCTTACTGCTGACTCATCAGCATATAAAGACCAAGTTGCCTCTTGGGATGGAGAAAAAAGATTGAAATCCAAGTAAGTAGTAAACCTGAACTTTAGTAAACTACTTTTAAAAATTATAAAATTTTTATAATTTTTTTGCACACTTTCTGTGTAGATGCATTTTCAAGGAAGACTAGTTAAATTTTTCTTGCCATTGATTCATACAATTTTTACAGTTATGTACTACACATATGCACTTTATTTTTTAAGGCATGCTGATAATCTCTTACAACTGGACAATGGTGTCAAAGTTCCACCAAGGTTAGTTTTGGTAATAAGTGCTTTCTTTCTGAAGTTCAACAATGGAGATGCAGTGGCTTAATGTTGAGTGCATTGGACTTTGGGTTGAGAGGTCCACATTTGAGACCTATAACCTGGTCAGTGTGTTGTGTTCTGGACCAAAAACCTTCCCCTTGCAGTGCCTCTGCCCACCCAAGAATATAAGTGGGTTCTGACAAATTGTCAGGGAAGCCTGATGAAATGCTGGGGGTTAACCCTTGCAATGGACCAGCTTCCAATCCAGGGGAAGAACAGTGATACTCCTGATTGGCTCATGCTTTGGAAACCATGATAAGCTCTGGCTGGGTGGGCCACTTTGCTCCAGCACAGACTTTTGAAGCTCAACACAGATTACATACTGACATTTTTAATTTTGCTCTGTCATTAATTGCAATTATTGTTCCAATCCTTTCAATAATATTTTACTTTCAGAGGCTGGAAGTGTTCAAAATGTGATTTAACAGAAAATTTGTGGATGAACTTAACTGATGGTACAATTTTGTGCGGCAGGAAATATTTTGATGGTTGGTATAATTTCTACTTCATGGAATTTTTAAATTTATACATTTGTTTGAACTATTATAGTATAAAGTATATGAAGAGTGGCATGCTTTTGGCATGATGAGAAAAATAACAGTGACAAAAGAGATACTTGATTGAAACATTTTCAGGTTACAGTAACTGAGAGTATTTTTGTGTTAAACTTTCTGCAGTCACATAGTAGTATTTACATCTTCACTGATTCGCTTTTTTTTCTTTCGTGTTTATTGTCATTTATTAGCTTTTGTGTTCATTGAGCCATTTCCCAATTTTTTCCATGAGGTTCACTCACTCAAATGGCTGGTTACAATCGAGAATTTCGCTCTCGGCTTATAGCTGATGGTTTTGCTTTTTCTTTTGGACTACACAAGTCTGTTGGAAGGTCTCCAACTTTTAGGGTCTCTGCTTATAGCCGAGGTCAGCTTATAGGTGAAGAAATACGGTAACCCAGATGTGCATGGGTGTACTTGGTTGTTGCTCAAAACTGTAAACTAAAGGTGCTTGAATGAGCAGACTTTAGGAGAGGGTGATTAAAAAGTTTTAAGGTAGATTAAATTAAATTTTTTTGTATTAAACCTCTTTCTTTCCTCTCTAGGATCAGGGGGAAATAATCATGCTGCTGATTATTACAAGGAAACAAAATATCCATTAGCTGTTAAACTTGGAACCATCACTCCTGATGGAGCAGGTACAAAATTAATGGAAATGTCACATGTATGTACATGTAGTCTTTAAACCTATACTAATTGTCTCATGCATAATTATTTGGTGTACAATACATTATTAATTATGTACTAAAATCAAAGGAACTGTTTTTGATGATGATAATCTCCAAAACAAAACTTTTACAATTGATACAAAGTCAATCCAGAGTCCTCATCTCCACATCACAGAATGTGTGAGAAGGAGATATCTTAAGGCCCAGACTTTTCTTACAATGAATGCACATCATACATTTCATTTGTCATGAAATTGTTTTGCACAATATTTGCATGTAGTTCTAAACAATTATCAGAAATTGCTCTACCCCAGAAGAGTACACCATTACATTCTCTGGAAAACACTAAAACTTAGACCAGTTTATACAAAGTCATGCATGTCCATGTAACATTACACTAAACCTTGTACAGTACATGTAATCTGTAGAGATGTTAAGGGGTGTGATCTTGCTTTTGTCTTGAAGATGTGTTTTCTTATGATGAGGATGACATGGTTGAGGATCCTAATCTAGCTCAGCATCTTGCTCACTTTGGAATTAACATTACTCAGATGGAAAAGGTACAGTAACTGTTTTAAAGATGCAATCCTGTTATGGTCAATCAACTCACAAAATTGCAACCCCATTTATATACTAGTGACACATTCTGATTGCATTATTACTAGAAAGTAGAAGATTGTAATCTTGAATAACAGTAATTTATTGTTATTTTGTCATTCTTTCCCTTAATTTGAGTTTCCTCCCCCCCCCCTTGCCAATACTGCACTCTAGTCTGTGACTGCACAACTTTGAATAAAGAAGGGGGGAGGTATTCTTTCAAGGTGGAGTGAATTGTGAACTTCAATTCTCCTTTTTAACATTATGTTATCAGACAGACAAGACAATGGCAGAGTTGGAGATTGACATAAACATGAGGATAAGAGAGTGGGATGTTATACAGGTAACAGTTTTTGATGACTTTGATGACAACCCCTCAAAATATATTTTTCTTATTTTTTCATTTGAGACTTTATGATTCATTTCCTTTGTTGTGAGGTTCTCTGACCTCAGAGATAAAGAATAAAGTCAATGATAGTTCCATAATTCGCTGTTTACGTGTAACTGAGCCCATCTTAATGTTTTCTGATGTTATTATTTATTCAAGGAATCAGGCAAGAAATTGACTCCCTTATGTGGCCCTGGCTACACTGGACTGAAGAATTTAGGAAATAGGTAAACAGTAAAACCTGTATTTAGAGGGGGGACAGCCTGTGTTAGACCTTTAAATCCCACGAGTGACCAGGACAGAATTTTTCCTTGCAATATCAACACAAAATCAAATAAAAATGAGATGAGAATGAAGGAATATATATTGATTAGGGGATTTGGGACTGATCCAATACCAAATTCTCAGAACTAAGATCTTAAGAATTGTGTGGCAGACCGAAAGGAGAATTACTAATGAGATCTAGAGAGTGAAAGGGTTAGGTGGATGCAACCTAAATTCATTATTGACTGTGAAACAAACCAGCATTTAGTAGACTCCTCTATTAAGCAGGCGTGGACACACATTACTCTAGTTTTGTTGTGACCTAAAAACTGCTCAATACAAGGTTACCACCTAATACAGACCGTAGCTTGAATATGCATCTTGACTCACTTTGAACTAGTACATGTTACATTCTACATCTGTCGCAGAATAACCATTTAACCGCTAACTATTTGTAAAGGCATGTAACTTGTACAGCTGCGATTAGATAAGTTTTTCTGTTTTAGGAGAACAAGAATTTAAGAATGATTTGTTTATTTGGAGAGCCAGGAAGGAAAGTGAACTGTGTCAGTAACACAATATTAACCCACAAGAGTCGTTTTCATTTCCTTTGTTTTGACAGCACGGTCTTCTGCCGCTTTTTTCTACTTCATCGCCGTCATTGTCAAAAAAAGAAAAACTTTGAAAGGCTGATAAACGTAATTTTTTGCTTGCGCGAGATCAAGGCGGGCAATCTCGAACAACTTGCCTACTCGGGTTGCTAATCAGAACAAAAGATTCGCTTTCAATTGCCCATGGGCACTAACCGCTATAAAATTATTATAATACATAGTAGAATTATCGTATTGGTTCGTGATAATTGACAGTTTAGAGTATAACTTTTTTTTTCTTCTCTTTTTAGCTGTTACATGAACTCTGTCCTTCAAGTTCTTTTTACACTTCCGGAGTTTAAACAAAGGTATGTGTTAATATCGCTAACATTTGTTAGTACTTACCGAGCTGTCGATACGCTCTAGAATGTTCACTGCATGACATTTACATGTGCACCAATTGTCGCAATTATTAGAATGCTTTTCCCTATGAGTTTCTATAACCAAATCCAAAATAACGGTCAATCAGAAAAAAAAATACCTCAAGAGCCAATGAGAATTCAAAGTAAAAACAATCAAATTGCCTAAAGCGCGGGAAAACGCGGGCGACCAAGTCGTGATTGGTTTTAGTTCTTGAATCTGATTGGTAGAAAAAGTGGAACAATTTTTCTGGACCAATCACATAACGAAATAAAGCAAAACCAAAGGATTCACGGATTACTTTCGAAACTCAGTTGAAAATATTGTCCTTTTTGTAATGGCATATTTTTCCAGGTATGGAGATCAATTTGCCACCATCCTTTTCCAGGCCCCATCGGATCCTAGTGGAGACTTCAACACACAGATGTAAGTTCATCGCTGAGCTTCTCATTAATTTTCATTCCTCGCGTAGATCTTTTCCGCTCACAGATTTTAGACAAGTACTGGGCTCAATGTTTTCTTACAAATAGCTACTCTGGGAACATAAAGTGGAAAGCGTCTTCATCTTTCCCTACTCAAAGTTTTCGAAATCGAGAGGATAATATTCCTCTCTCGAAAAAAAAACCCTCTACTTCTTTCAAAGGGAAAATGTTTCTTTCTTTAGGGCGAAGGTTGCTCATGGAATCCTTTCTGGGAAATACGCCACAGCACCACAGGAACACCAGGAAAAAGCAGAGAAACAAACAGATCAGGTGTGTTTCAGTATTTGAGTCCCGGTCACATGTATGTGTAGTTAGGTTCCAGTAACATTTACTGCAGGTCTTCTCAAGAGTCAAAAGGTTGATCGCGAGATTTTTGTTGTTAATGGCTTGCTAACGATAGAAATGGGCCCAGGTCAGGTCGTGATTTCCTTGAACTAAACGTTTTAGATTTAAATACAAATCACGGTATCAGAAATTTTGGAGAGCAGCTTGATTTGGGCTGGAGTCCTGTGTGATATGGAAATATTTCTACAAGCGTCTCATCCTCGATTCTCGAAAGTTGCGAGGATCGTGAAACGAGTTCCGGTTTGACACTGTCGTCATTGCCTTGATATTATGGATTATGCTTTTGCTCATACATTTTGGATAGGCCACGGACACGATTATATTCTACTCAATAACAACGTGGACTTTCACCGCCATACAGTGAAAACTCAACATACAATTAAATCTTTGAAGCAAGATCAAGACGAATACTCTACATGTCTCTAAGTAACACACCATAATCGCAAGCATTTGTTAAGACCTTCGTTATCCTTTTACTTGTCAGGAACAAGATGGTATTGCACCGCATATGTTCAAAACTGTGATTGGGCGTGGTCACCCCGAGTTCTCCACCAACAGGCAGCAAGACGCGCAAGAGTTCTTTATGCATTTACTTTCCGCTATAGACAGAGCCGAGGTACATTTTAGAGGCAATTACCCTGATTGTGGATTTTCATCGTTTGCTTCTCATCACCAACTACAACGTACATATGCATTGCATTTATACTGACCTAGTTAACCAAGGCAACTTGAGAGTGAGGATAAGAACATACCCAGGAAACGAGGAAGGAAAATTCTTGCCAGTTGGTTTCTTCTTTCCATCTGAATGGTTGAGAAGGTGGAATGAATCGTTTGTCAACCAATCACAGCGCTTATTATCGCCTCTTTGTAATTGTAAGTGTGAAGGTTTTAACATGATTTATATTTCTTCTTAATTTCTTTTAGCGATCCAACGCAGGGGCCATCAACCCAGCAGACTCGTTTAGATATAAGGTAAGTTGTAGTTCAGTTTCATGGATTGGTAGCATGTGTATGTGCAGGTAACTATTTCATTGTTGTTAATCAGGTGGAAGAACGGACACAGTGTATGAAATCAGGAAAAGTTCGGTATAACAGCCGAGAGGATACGTTGTTGTCATTATCAATACCTATGGAGGCTGTATTGAATAAAGGTGACAAATTTCCTTCGTATACTTTAGATTTTCTGTTTTGATGAGCTCAAGCAGCCACAACAGAGACGCCTTGGGAACTTTGCATTAAAACTTAAAATTAATATTTTGTATGTGGATAGTGCTGTTTCCGGTTTTTAACAGCGCTATACCTCCCTCCTAGGACACCAAATGTCAGTAGGGATAAGTCCTAATAGAGACGAGGAGAGTTCGTCTTCGTGGTTCTCGCTCTCATGCCGTGAAAAAATTTGTAACTTTCCCTTATTTCTTTTTTAAAAGACGGCTAGGAAATGGGCAGTATTTTAAAACACCTATACAAGATTTAAGTTCTATCTGTTGGATACTTTATTTTCACCACTCTCTGGTTTCCGTCGCTTTTCAGGTTTGTTTAAGGTCCCCAACGAAAATTTACCAGCTTAGTTTGCTTTTCCCTGCTGTCATTTTGGGTTGCTATCAGTTTAATCGCAGATCACGTACTTTTTTTATTCCCTTTGCCATCTCTACAGAGAAAGTAGCGGCTTACGAGTTAAAACAGAAAGAAGCAGAAGAAAAGAAGGAGAGACTGTATGTTATTTCTTTCATGCAGTCCATACACCTAACATTAACGAGTACTCTAGGAGTAATTTTCAAAAATCGAAAGTCATCCAGAATTGCTTTGATTTTGCTTTACTTCGCTCTGTGATTGGTCCAGAAAACTCGCGCTAATCACCCAACCAATCAGATGCAAAACTAAAACCAATCGCGCCTTCGTCACTAACGTTTTCCCGCGCTTTACGCAGTGTACTCATTTGTACCCTACCTTCACAATGCCTCCATGTGATTTTTGTAATTACTTTTCGATTTACTACACTCAATTTAAAAGCGTTCTATTAGCAGCACTGTTACCTTCGAACAATGAAACCCATAAAGCTCTATACTTTGAAGAATGAGTGTCAAAATTTTTAATGATCTTTTCTAGGCCGTAACTGTGAATTAATTTCTCAGCAGCCGAAGGTCAAATATGCAGTATCCTCTCACTAACAGGAAGTTTTTGTCACTTTTCATTTGCAGAGACCCAAATGAAATTGTTCGACCTAGGATAGCAATGTCAGCGTGTATTGAAGCTTTTGCTGCTCCTGAGATTGTAGATGATTTTTACAGCACCGCAATTAAAGCAAAAAGCGTTGCGCAAAAGTAAGTTCTACTCCCGCAGTACGATATTTAACTAGTACACTTAGTGTGTGGTATGTGACAAATTTTCTGTGTGTGTTTGTTTGTCAGAACAACTAGATTCGCCACGTTTCCTAATTACCTAATGGTGCAGATGAAGAAGTTTACTCTGGCTGATGACTGGACTCCAAAGAAATTAGGTATGGCCGGTTTTGTAATATTTATACACAAGATGAGAGAAAGTGTCTCGGTGCTATGCATGTAGATAAATCCGCTTCCTGCACTTAACCTGCACTGCGTTTGCTCGAAAAGTGACTGTGTTACTGTTTTCTAGCCTGTAAACAGACTATAGATGTGATGATATCAGTTCCCCTAAATTTACATATAACATAAATTTACTGCAAACGTAATTTTCTCAAATGGGAGGTCCTAGAAATAGGTTCCCTTCTTTACATTAACCACCTATGTATGTACATGAAACAGAATGGATACTTGAAGTTTTGTTTACAAGAGGAGCGAAGATGGAATTTTCCTTGGCTTGTCGTTCGTCGAAAAAGTGGCTTGCTTGTAATGTAATGTATTCTAAAGGAATAATTGTGTAAATTTTTTCCAGATGTTTCTGTAGATATTTTAGATGAACTAGACCTGACTCATCTAAGAGCTACTGGTCTTCAGTCGAACGAAGAAGAACTCCCAGAAGGCGAACAGGCTCCTGCAGGTACAACCTTCTGAGTCTCTCATTAGTTGTAAGAGAAATATATTTTTGTTGACGAGCTGTCTCACTGCAAGGAAAGTTGGGTTCCAGGGGTATCCAAGGCCTTCCATTGTGTCTAGCTAGCTTTGGGAAATAATCCGTGCACATGGCTGGCAAATCTTTGCAACCGAGCAATGAGCCCCCATTCCAACACGAATGCGATCATTGGCAGGAAAAAATAAGGAAGGTAGATGAGGGAAGGGAAAACTGCTCGAGACTTACGATGAACAACTAATGAAAAGCTGCTGTAGAACTCAGAACAGCATTTTCGGTAAATTACTTTAACGGTTGATCATTGACTTCCATTGCCGTGAGAACAGTGTTTTGATTGCCACGCGTCCAGGCGAAATACTCACCCCACCTTCTGCACCGTACCAAACCAAGACCGAAATCTCATTTCGTGTTTATTTCTTTCCAGCTCCTCAGATCCAAATCGATGATAGTGTCGTTGCTCAGCTTGTTTCTATGGGCTTCCACAAAGAAGGTTGTCGGAAGGCTGTCTATCACACAAAGAACCAAGGTAAGAGAGCCATCCACAGTGTTGTTAAAATCTTTAAACTGTGTAATAACATTGTGGAGAGGTGTTACACGTGTGGCATGCCAGGGGCGAAGACATGTATGAGTTTTTCTTTTAAATCCGACCCCAGTCAGTTTTGATTTCTCATCAGTATAATTTACCAATGGATAGTTTACTGGTGAGTTAAGGCTGTTAAACCAGCTAGGGTCATAAGTGACTGGGGACAGCAGAATGCAAGGGTAGACAATGTTGATTGTGAATTCTGAGTGAGAAAGACGTTGAAGCAGAGTAGAAGAGATCAGTTCATATCGAATGTTTTTCATGCTACTTTCCCTGATTGATGTTCATTTGTTCATTGGTTTTTTCTTTGATTAGGTGTAGAACCTGCCATGAACTGGGTTTTAGAACATATGGGTGACCCAGGTGAGACGAGTGTTAGTAATCATTTTTGTGTGCAGGTTTCCACGTTTCAGATGGAGCTGCTCTTAAAGTACTTTGGGTCTTTAAAATGTTATACTTCGTGTGTTGTCTTAATCATTTGCAATCCACGTTAACCTTTTCAATTCTTAACCAGCCTGGTGTCATTTTTGGTCTCCCTATTTGGTTTTACTTTCTTATCAAAGTTTCTTTTATTTCCTCTTGGCTCAAGGTGATTTAATTTACAAGGTGCACGAAAATGGCTTAAGACATCAGTCGTGACGCGGCCCCTTTTTACAATAGAGCAATTCGGTCATGCATTCTTCTCCTTGTTGGAAATTACTCAAAACATAAGTGTGTAAATAACATTTTTAACGACTACGAATGTTTTGTTCGAAGACGTGTTTGCCACAAGGTTTCGGCCCATCACTGTGCTCTGCTCGTTAACCTCTCAGTCATGATAAACAAGGAACGTCATCTCAGAATATCCATACATTCTGAGGCAAAGAGGTGATAAGAATGAAAAAACTTGTCAGCCAGAGAGAATTATCTTCATATCTTAACAAATTCTCGTAACTTCTTCAAAAGGAAATGAATGAAAACATGAAGGAAAAATTGATAAGTGATCCCCACACTCATTCTACACTCTTTGTTAAGAATGGGTAATGATGAAGTTTCAGTAAGACCTGTCAACAATTTTGTTATTGGGGCTGCTTGCAATAAAAATTATGTACCAGCATGTAATTAAAGAGAGTGACAAGTATGTCTTGAAGCTTTTTTTTTGCCAGTCCCTATGTAACGATTTCAAATCTCTTAGAACCATTCTGTCTTTACCATTCAAGATTTCACCTCACCACTAGTGCTTCCTGGTAGTCAAGGATCAAAAGCTGCTGATGAAGAATCATTGGCGATTATTACTTCTATGGGTTTTACTGAGGCACAAGCTATCAAGGCTTTAAAAGCCACAGTGAGTATCTCCTCAATGTAATAAGCTTTAAGCCTTCCGTGATAATATTAGCAATTTAGACCACATTTTTTGTGTGTTCCAAGTCCAAAAACACCCGTTTTTCGAGGAAACCTAACTCACCGCTTCCTTTGCGCTTTGCTTTGTTTTTTGTTTGGTTTTTTCGGTTTTTTGGTATTTTTTTTCTAGCGCAATTCGGATCACGTGATCTGACATGCCATGTTCAGATCGCTGGAAGGTTGTATCTCACCCCCACTCACTCTCTTGTTTGTTCGTTAGCTAGCTATTTAAATGGATAATCGGCTGTTTGATCCATTTTTCATTCTATTGTGAATGCATTCGCGCTTGTCATGCTGATGGCCAATGTTCTCTTCTCAAAGTTTGCCATTTTTACCGTCACTCTCATGTAGGACAACAACTTAGAGCGTGCAGCGGATTGGATATTTAGTCATGCGCATGAGCTCGACTCTATGGAAGGAGAAAGTTCTGCTAACCAGGAGACTGGACCCCAGTATAATGATGGACCAGGAAGTAAGTATCAGTATAAGACAGGTTTGTTTGTGTTGTGAACAGTGTTTGACTTTGGTTACTACCTATAGGGTTTCATTCACTGGCCTAACTGTTGAACTCTTGTCTCATGAGCTGTATCCAGTAGATAAGTTGCAATGTGGTAGATAAATATTGGGCAAGATTTCAGTAAGCGTGTAATTAAGATCATATCAATTTGTGCAGAAACAATGAGATCGAGTTGCGCTGCAATTACGTCGTGAATTTAGATGGAATAAAATGAAAAAAAGACTATTCTTCTTCCAGTTGTTTTCGTGGATAAATACATTGCAATGGAGAACTTGTTCAATACATACCGAGCAAGTTGATTAAAATTTAAAAAATTTGGTTTTTTTGTTGTATGTTTCTCATGATTTCATTTCTCTTTCAGAATACCGCCTGATTGCCTTTATCAGTCACATGGGTACATCAACGATGTGTGGTCATTATGTTTGTCACGTGCTTAAGGACGGAAGGTATTGTATTTACAATTACATTTCCTCATCAAATTGCGCTTAAACCTTGAACTGCTATAATTTTGTTGTTTCTCAATAGGTGGGTGATTTTCAATGATCGTAAAGTAGCCCTCTCAGAGAAACCGCCAAAGGATCTTGGGTATTTGTATTTGTACCAACGAGTACAAAGTTAACTCAATCGTGCGCAGTTTTGTGTTTTTCTGCGCTTCTAAAGTTCTTCAGTGAAGTTTTGCGCCGAGTCAGAACAGAGACGGACGTAGGAAAATCATGTTTGCAGTGGATTTGAAAAGTGAAAGAACACTGGCACGTTGACAGACGCCTTAAAATGACGTGTTAGACAAATTTTAATTTGGAACTAAAAGAACCGTTACGCATTAGGTTGTTAATAAATTTGCTCATTGTGGATAATGGATCTGCTAATTGCTCTAATGTCAGCCTGGAGGCCACTTTTATTCTTCTTTCCGATTGAACGATGTAATTTTGTAATTTCGTTTTTTTTTCAAAGTATCATGTAATAACAAGCGTAATAGTTGTCCAACGTGCACACGTGTGAAACACTTCATTCTAGTCGCGCGTTGCCCTAATGGGTCTCTCTCAGCGCGTAAAAAGGTTTTCTGTAGAATTCGAAGTTGTTGAGGCAACTCCAAAAACCTCCTGGTAGGTCAAAGAGAAATCCTTGAGGCTTTATTTAATCTCATTTATTGGTAGAGTTCCTTATCGGTAAAATCTAAACTCTATCTGTAAGACCAACTTCTGTAAGCAAATCAACTGTTTTCTTGTGTATAGAAACAGTATCAAGGCTCATACTGTGTTATGGTGCTGTGAGATCTTTAAGAGTGATGCTTCGTCAGTTGTTCTGTTGACATGGAAGCCAAAGAAAATCTGTTAAAATCCGCAGATGTATCGCCATCTCTGACTGTACTCTGGTCTTGAATGCCATTTGACTGGGGCTCAGCGGCGCATTTTAACCCTTTGCCACGGTAAAACCTTTCCTTGAGCAGTCCACGTACTCTTTTAGAAGTAGTGAAGCACAACGCGATGAAAAACCCTGAAACAAATCTCACAGAAAATTAGTTACCAGAAATTTAACTATCATTAACTGCTTGTGCCATACCGAAGTGAAAATAACTTTAACACTGTTATGTAGGTGGGGCACTTAAATTTTTTGGGTGGCTTTTTTTGATTAAGCGGGGCCTCCAGGCAATGTTGCGGCTCTTCACCGATTTAATACAGTTTACTGTTAGGTCCTAAACATTATTCCCTGATTGTAGTTTGCACGACCGACGGATGCTGTTAATTTAAATTATTGCTTAAGTTATTGCTTACATAGGAGGCTGTAGCCCCTCCCCCTTTCGCAACGAAAACGATGGCTTGCTTATAATAAAATTAGTTGGTGAAATGTTCCCACAAATAATTTCACCAGGATCGCGGTGGGCGAAAAATTTTGTACGAGGAGTATTTTCGTTTGACAACTACCCCTTCATGCATAACAAAATTTGATAACGGAATCTCTAGATTTTGTCCTGATTACAATAATGTGTGCTACTGCCAGAAAAATCTGCAAAAGCTATTTAATTTTTGGGAAATTTTAATAGGGTAGTATGGACAGGCACACACGCACCGACGCACACAAGTTTGCCTTGGTACTTCACAAATCAAACTTGAAAAAGTACCTTGCATGCAGTTCAGCACAGTGGAAGGGTAATGAAGAAATTCAGTTTGTTTCCAGTTAGCAGCAAGCCCTAGGATCCAGGTCAGTCCCATCACTGTGGTCAACTTGATGCAGATGAGGGTCAGAGAAGCTTTAGAATTGTTTGCTGCTAGACTGGCACCCTAAAGTTAAAAAACGTAAACGAACAAAAGCTTCTCTGATCTATTCAACCAGTCAATGAAAAGTAAGTAAAAGATATCCCAAGCGGACTTGTTGTAAACTCTAATGGGTTTCTTCAATGAAGATTTGAGCATGATGCCTCTTTCTTAATGCTACTGAATTCTTGATGCTACTGACTGATGCCAGAATGTCTCCCACACTCCATAAGCCTAAGGTCAAACCTTAAGTACTCGTCCTTACGCATACCTTTTGTAACTGATGGATGCCATAAAGATTTTTCGCCAGACACGTTATGTTGAAAACCAAAGCAAGGCTCACTGGGGTAACCATAGCAACAATCATGGCTGTGTTTCCAAATATCCAGCAATAATTCGATTTACCTATCGATTAAATACAGGGAGAAATCGAAATCGTTTCTTAGGAGTTGTTCTTAGAGAGGCAGTTTGCTCCATAAAGATAGCAATTGTGCTGATCACAATATTTAACCCATTAACCTCTATGAGTGACTAACATTTAATTTCTCCTTACAATATCATTCCCGAATCACACATTTAGGTTACGAGAATAAAGGAAATGATCACCAACCAAAGAAGCTCTTGATTGCTAAACAAATTCTCCTCGTAAGCTTCTTAGGAAATGTAGAGAGCATAGTATAGAGAGTTTGCATGCTGATGTTAGGGTGTAAAGGGTTAAGGAGCGATATGACAATGATAAGCTGGTGTAAACGCTGCTAAAGGAGGTCAGTTGAAGCTCCTATTGATGAACAACAGTACCTGTAACAATTTTAACTTCAAGACTTTTTTGTACAAACCATATCCGACATGAAATGATCCTGTGAAGTCAAGTACAGTAAATAAACCAACAACCATTACAGGAAGTCCCCATCCCAGAATGCAATACTTGATGAAGGTTTTCCTCTGGTTCGAGCTTTGTCTCCTTGCGTTGCCTGCTGCAGAAATTAAGAACAAGTGAATGGCGTTTATTTTCAAGATATGTGCAAATTGATTAGACAAACAGGTATGTGAAATTTTTTAACATAACGGTTGCTTAGTTTCGAACTTGTTGGCTAAGTGGTTGGCGTCTCATACCACAGATCAACAGGTCTAATTCATGGTACCACCCTCCACCCAATTTTAGCAAGAGTTTAAAGGGGACAAGCAATCTGTGAGAAACTTAACGAACTGCTGAGAGGTGGCCAGCATCAAAAGACTGCTAAGCTCTTTAAAACATTGTTAATGTTCGTGCGTCAGTTGACCAACGTTTTAGGAACTTAACTACTCACCCTTAACGGTAAAAGCATTTGCTGTATTAAACGCCATAATGCTCATCCACGAGAATGCAGCGAGGATGAAGAAATGTAGAGAAATGGCAACTGCCTTACATAGAGCGTCCACTTCATTCGCCTTTTCAACAGCGAAAAAAATTATTTGGTAACAGAGTAACGCCCCACAAATGTTGATGAGACATTTTCCAGGCAGATTTCTTAGCTCTTTGAAAAACAAGTAAATGAAAAGAAGAAAGCACAGTGAAATTATTGATAGAGTTGTACCAATGACTGTGATATAAATGAGAACTGTGAAATCCTGGTTGGAATCGTTAGTAGCTTTATCATCTGGACACAATACATATACAGTGCTCCCATTCAAGTCCATGGCAATCTTTTTATCGAGGAATTGTTCACTCTGTATCATTACATGGTGTTTGTCTAGGGATGCATTAATTTGTGCTGATTGATTTTTTACGGGAATGAATGCTTTGCAAGTTTTCCCATTAATAGTGATGGTGCAATGGCTACCGTTTGAAGTACAGTGTAACATCTGGGCAGTAACGTTAAACTTTTCTTTGGTTGCTCCAGTTGGCTGTGGTGTCTTTGGTGTTTCAGGATTCCTAAAGTTTCCGCTGACATCCAAGATGATCGACCAGGGTATAACTGGGCCTTGAGCGGTCGCTGGCTCGGAATGTCCTTCAGGATCACAGAGAGCGCAATGAGGGTTCCTGTATGATACTTTAGCCTTTTGATAGTCAACTGAAAAAGGCATGGAATATGAAGAACAAAGGTCTTTAACTAAAGACATCCAGGGTTGTTTATTCACCGCGCATATTGTATCATGCAATACACAATGTCGCGTTTGGTTGGACGATGTCTCGTATTTCCATGAACACTTGTTTATTTTGTCCATGACAAACGTCCTAACTGCCTTGATGTCCGACCCATTGAATTCTAATCTTCCACTCCCGCATTTTACTTGGAGTTCCCAGAAAGTCACTTTTTCTTCTTTGCTACATCTGGCACAGGCAATGTTTCTGTATGTAACATTGTGCTTCCATCCAAACACGGGTAGTTCGCTCTGTAATGTCATATTTAACTTCTTAACAGCTTTGCAATCTTCACCTACTGGATTGCCTGATAGGCTGCAGGATGATTTCATGATTATCCCAGACCATGGAGGTTCATTGAAACGCTGCCCCCCGTGGCTAATGACATCTCCACAGGTCACGTTCTGGTTTTGTATAGCCTCAATAATACTTGCACTTAGATGACATCTTAAAAAACAGTTGTTTGGATTCTTTGTATGAGCGAGCATGTCAAGTAGAGGAAATATCTTAACGTGAGAAAATGTCCAATACCTTAAAGTATGTTTTGTGCCGAGTTCGTAAAGGTAGATAGATAGGAAGAGATCAAAACATAATTGTATTATGGTGTTGATGATAACTTAGATCAGAAAAAATGACATCACAAAGTTTATTAGCGACGAATTTGAAAATCTGAGGCTAATTTTTCGAGCTGCGTTACAAAAAATAAACTAAAACAAACTGAAAAAATCGAGGAGCTTATACTTAGCGTTAACTGAACTCCAACACTGATAAAGAGTAATCAAACTATGCGAGGGCCTTCAAAGAACATCGCGCTCAACAAGTATTAGGATGATTTAGGACTATCAACTAAGTTGCGAAGGTAAATTGGCTACGGTAAAGAGTTGTTCCAAAGCTGACGTTTCGAGCGTTAGCCCTTCGTCAATCGCTCCTACGAAGCGCTGACGCTCGAAACGTCAGCTTTGAAACAACCCTTTACGGTGGCCAATTTATGTTAGCAACTCAGTCGATAATACTAAATCACCTGAATATACTCTTCCACCGATGCAGCACCACAGTTTGTTTTGAAACTTATTTCCCTGAAGTATTAGGATACACAGTTAAAACGAAAAGCGATGAATTTCCATTTGTTGTTTCGATAATGACTTCATAAAATTCCTTATCATCCAAAAAATCACCGTAGCAACACTGCAAAAGACCACCCTTATTTCAGCTTTGTTTATCGTTGACTCTGACCACGGGTGACCCCGTTGTTGTAAAATTGCAAGTAGCGTAACAAAATTATATTTTAAAGTATTTGAGCTACCGTAATCTTTTGTGAACTTCACTTGAGAAATAAATGCTTAGCAGCATCTCGTTTGCTGAATTTATCTTCAGTTTCTGCAAATTATTGCAGGAACTGCTAAATGCACTGCCACAGCTTGGATGCTTCTTTAATCAATTGACCAATTAATCAATGATCGAAGTGCAATATATTGCTGTCAATGTAGCAACGAACAACGACTAGAGATGTTACGTATAGAGGAAAAACAAATTGTACTTACCGCGAGTAGAAGTCCACGCAGCAGTCACCGAGTGTTTTGCAAACCTCATCACAGAAACACTTATTTGCCTCTCCTCTTTCATCTCGGTAGCATCTGCCTGCGCATGATTGTTCAGAATTGTTTTTCTGCTTAAACACTTCAGCAAAGTATCTCTCCTCTTGTGGTAGGGTAACATTATGGAGACGTAAGAGCTTTGTCAGGTTTTTCAAGCTGACAGTTTCACCTTTAAAATTCACCACGAAGTCTTGATGATCCGACTCTAAATTAGGAGAAAATTTAAAAAATCGTAAACAAAATGTACATCAAAATTCTAAATGGCAAAAATGTTGCAACAAAATTAAGGTGTAAAGTAACTTATACTGTGATTCTTACATGATATGGAATTGAGAGGTGGCCAGCATCAGCAGACCGCTAAGCTCTTTAAAACATTATGTTAATGTCCGTGCGTCAGTTGAGTAACGCTTCAGGAACTTAGCTACTCACCCTTAACGGTACAAGCATTTGCTGTATTAAGGGTTTTCCAATTTAGCAGAAGTTCCGCAGAAGTGGAACTTACTAATAAGTAAAAGTTCAGTTGAAGCAAAAATGACTGAGTTAACTGGCGAAACATCCACGAACAAAAACATTATCACTTCTTAATTGAATATATCACCAGGGCGCGGAAGATTGGAGCGAACTTTCGCAAAATCGGAAAACCCGAGTAAATTGAACCTAACAGGGTTATCTATCATTTAAGAATTTGCAGAAAGCGAAGCCTTGAAATCAAAATCTAGGGCTTCCACAGTGCTTCAGTCCACGCCCTCAAGATATCTGATACGTACCACTTAACTCCTGAAAATCTTGAGCAGAGTCGATGCCAAAAGATTTAACAAGAGGAAAGTTGATCACCCAAAAAGTCGTAATACACACTGACACGAGAGTTAAATTGCCACGCTTCATAGTTATTCCGGAAAAATTCCAAGCTGAAAGAAAAAACAAATTTGAGCGAATGCGGAACCTGTTTTAGACTGTACAAGACTCGAAGAGAGAACGGCTTAATCATTTAAACCTCTTAGGTGTCACATCTTCATTGCAGCGTCTCTGAGTTATTATGACGATCTTTGTGCCAACAGCCGCATTTTGCATGTGAGCTTTTAGCTAATTAAACCAAGATTAATTTCACAGGCGGGTGGCGTTGATGTGTTCTGTTGTTTACGTTCCTAGTAATTAAAACAATTTTCAGTTGAACGTTATTTGAACTTGCAAATGACAGCTCGATGAAAATTTCAAAAAAGCTTATCTCAATAGTTGTGGTTTCGCAGTATCGTCAACTTTTATCATTCACTGGTGGGCTACAAATGAAAAAGTGGAAAAATTTTAGTAAACTATCATTTGAATTTGCTCAGGGGTACCAAAACAGCTGCGGGTCAAAAATAATTTGAAAAAAATCAAATTCCCAATGTTGACAAAGAGCAACTAAAATTGTGTGCAAATAGAAAAGAAAGTTAAATCTCTGCTGCAAGACCAATCATGATTACAAAACTGAACTATACAGTAGATTTATTTCCTACCATAATGGGTTCTTCAGATGTTTTGTTGATCGAAAAAACCAATTTTAGTTTGTTGCCATGCAAACATCGGTAAATGTCTTAAAAGCATGTTCCTGTTTTTTCCTCTCTCAGTTTGCTAACAGCCTACACCCTGAGTCAATCTTTGCTGTGACCTTTTTTTTAAAGAGTATGAATTTAATCGCTTGATTAAAATAAGTATTGTTCTGCTTAACCAAGAGCAAAGGGTTACTGTTGTTGAAAAATGCCAAGTAATAATAAGTGTGGAAACTACAAGAATTATTTCTGGCATAGAAAAAGGATTTTGTAATTACGTTTTATAATATTATGTTTGAAAGAAGGGTGACATTACTAGCTCGAAATGAAAACATCATAAAATCATGTTAATGGCCAGCATTTGAATAATTTCATCCCTGGCTGGTGAATATTTTCTAGATTACGACTAACGGAAATTATCTAATCATACAGATAGAAAAATGAACCAAAGTCTGTTGTGATCATAAAACTGGTTATCACATGCTCTTTTCAAATGTACTAGGCGGAATTTTTTGCTCGAGAAAATAAATTTTCCTTCATTATTTTGCACATCTTTTGTTCCCTTATGTTATCTTTTGTGAACCACTCGAGCGCTTCAAAAAACACTGCTGCATTTCGAGTCGTCGTAATACAAATATCTCCGTTATCCCGCGGTGCATCAAAGGGCCCCTCGCAAATTGCACGTTCACCATACATTGATTCTCCTAATATCTCTCACGCATGCGCTACGTCTCTAATAAAGAAATAAAAACTACTCCAAAATTAAGGTTTGAAAATTAAAAGCCCAAAACGATTCTTTAACTAAACTGCTCAGGAAATTTGAACTTGCACGTGCGTTGTAATTCAGACAGCTTTTGTTTCGCAGAGGATATTGAATTTTGAAGTTAAAAGAAATACCGACACGGCATCTGTGTGATGGGGGCTATATGATGCAAATACTGTCATTCGAATACCTATTTATATGAACAATTTAGGACTTTTGTTCTCTTTTTCATTCGGGCTGCATCCTCGTGAGTCTCATTCCCATTCAATCGAGCTTCTATCTTATTTCTTCTTCTTTTCATTTTCTTTTCATTCTTTTCTTTACATTACCAAGAAACTCCCATTTAACCCTTTACACCCTAAAATTAGACTCAGTGTGCATATTCTCCATAATGCTCTCTATACATTTTCTAAGGTGCTGACAAGGAGAATTTGTTAAACAATCAAGAGCTTCGTTAGTTGTTATACATAATGAACGGAAACGTTCATAGCTGAATGAGGAATACAACAGTGCCGATCTTTCTAGATCTACAAATTTTCTTTTCTGCAGAATAATTATTTGACTTAATCATCTTTCAATAAAAGCTAAGGTCACTTTCTTCCAACTGAGACCTGTTTTAAAATGCTTTTGTTGATTAGCAATTTCTCTTAACAGGTGTTCTTGTGACAGGGGAAATGAACAGACCCAGACAGTTCCTGTAAGGAGTCTGAAGGAATAAATACACACAAAACAACCAGAAAAATTATATTGCCTTGCGCAAATAATCAAATGGACACTTTCCTTTGCTTCCCACAAAAATTGATAGAAGGCGTTCAGGACTAAAAGGTTTACATAAAAATCCACTCAGCTGCTGCCTGGAAATAATACGCGTAAATTCCTATAATGGAAAAAACGAGAATACGATTGGATGACACAAAAATGTTGACTAATAAGGAAGAGGTTTTTATTTCGACAGTTTTATTGCCAGGTCATTCATTTCCGTTCCTTTACTTAATGATTCACAATCGCAAGAATAATTATGGCATACAGACTTTTATTCAAGTTATACTGCACTTTATGAGTGTATGTACAATTTAAGTTAAGAATTACTTCATTGCGTCATACTATATCGAGATAACATGCATTTGAAATAACGTAAAACAAGATGACTTTCCGACCTTTCGTTTCTTTTTGTGAACTATTCTATTTTAAACTCCTCATCTACTCAGCTAGGGGTATATCCTCCCAGTGTTCAGCTTCTTTTCTTAAAAAGCTGTTGATTTATATTACTCGGATGCCAAACGTGAAAGTCACTGCCACCCTTCCTTCCACGAATTTATCAATTTAATAAAGTTTCAAGACAAAAGTACAGCTTTACTTTTCTAAACCTAAGGTATAGTGCAGCTACTGCCATTGGGTCCCACGTTCGAATTCCACTATTTATTATTGTTATTGTTATCAGTACTATTATTAGGTAAATTATTATTAATAACTATTTTACATAAGCTATATTGTAACTCTCACCACTTTGGATGATAACAA